TCGAAATTGAGGTTCTTGTAGGAAACAATTTTTTGTTTATCAATAAATCTTAACCATACTCAACAAGTCTTCGGCGTGCCGGACTTCTTTCACTTCTTTCTCGTTTTTCAATCAAATTCCCACTAATTGAGTCTAGGTTAAACAAATAATATTTATTATAAAAATAAAATATCATCTTGGACAACATTTTTATTTCGAACCAAAAACTGAAAAACCAATTTAAAATAAGCAAAACTCTCAAAGAAAAATAGAGTTCCCCGCTATCACACTGCTTTAAAAAAAGTCTAGAATTAGCGGGAAGCAAGCTAAATAGGCAGCACTGATGCCGCACACACGTTGAGCTGGACACAAGCTGGACACAGGCTGATCTGCAATTTGGCCCCGACAAGAACAAGAACTGCGAACCTGGCCAAGAGCCGCTGGCCAGCATTGTCCACTCTGTGGGCACTTTTGCTTTATTATAGCCATGCTTATACAGATTAGAATAAATCAACTTGCGCTCTGCCAGCCGCCCAGCCCGCTGCCCTGGCCCAAGTCCAGCGATCAGCAAACGCTACCGGCAACAATCTAGACCTGCAATTGGAGCTGCGACTGGGACTGCGACTTGGACTGCGACTGGGACTGGTTACAGGCAGCAGCTGCATTGCACTGGACACTGGGCACCCCACACGCCTAGTTGAGAAGCCCCTTATTAAGTGCCCAAGAGGCCAGAAGGAAGTCGGCACAGATAAGCAGGCAAATAGCTTGGCTTATGCCGCAAAATGGGTAACAGCCATACGCTCAAAGGGAAATGCAAAACCTCAAGACCTGGCCGAGTTCAAAGAGCAGCTGCAAATGGAGCATATAGAGACTGGGGCGGCGCATCAAAATTTAATGCCAAAACAATCTAAGAAGAGCAGAAAAGCTCAAAGCGACAAATTTATAAAAGTCGGAACTTATTTATTGGGATTTGTGGCTACACAAGATTTTAGATGTAAAGTCTAGAGAGCGGACTAAGACCAAGACATGGCATTAGCTATGACAATCGGTTGAGCTGACGAAAAGTTATGTGTCTATGAAAATTACAGATTGAATAATTTGATCTCTAAAAGATCTTAAATATACTTTTGACAAGGATAGGTTCAATTTGGCTGCAAACCCAAGAAACAATGTCGATGGTTCGATTCAAGGTATGCATCTATGCCTGGCCCTTCAGTTCGATTCGTAAACCTGGCTTTCTTTATTTATGAAGCCAGGTTTAGGTAAGATAGAGACCGCAAGTTGTTCTTGTAAAAGTATTCCTTGCGAATTAAAATAAATTTTAATCAAACCCTTTTTAACTTGACCTAGGTTTAGGCTTAAGATTAGCTTGATTGAGAAAAAAGACTGGAATTCCTAGCCCTAGCCAATTTGCTGCTCTGATAATAAGGTAATCCCTTGTCTCAGTTGCTTTATCATCAGCATCCAGTGCTGATTTAACCAGCTACTTATTATAAGTAGCTACTCTCCTGCAAGTTCACACAATTGCAGTCGATGGCAGTATCATCGGATCGGTTAACATATTGCAGATGCAGCTCGAAGACAGAGTCGGAGATTCTTGTGGCCCGATATTCTCATGTCTCTACATGCGATTCAACACATTCAACACATGAGCGACCCGGCGAGCTTACAAATTAAACGCATTCAAGTGCAAGGTCCAGGAATTTTGATTGGGTCAACAAAGTCAGAGCTCTCCGCGCGCGGTAGCTGAAATGCCATAACAAAATGTGTCAAGTGCCAGACATAAATGCCTAAGTAACGGCAGGAGAAGGAGACGGAGCAGGAGAGGGAAACGGAGCAGGAGCAGGAGACGGAGCAGGAGAAGGAGACGGAGCAGGAGTTGCAGCCCAGCCGATCGCCGAGCTGTGTCTCCTTCGTTTGAGCAGCCTCCTCCTTCATCACCCCCCCCCCCCTTCCCCTCGTCCCGCCATCGATTACTCTGCCCGCGGCCTTTTTGCTGTTTGCTCTGGCCATTCGACATGCAGCTCAGCTCGGCTCAGCTCGTTCTCCAGCGCATCATGAGACAATAAATTTTCGGTGCGTCACATTTTTTTTGTTCTGTTCTGTTTCCGATCGTTGTCCATTGGCTCCAGGCCGAAGCTGCGGCTCCTTCGGCTGCGCTCTTTAATATACCCTGCACACATACAAATAGCAAGGGTATATTGTGTTTAGCAGACAGTATGAACATATAGTAGTAGTATATGTGATGGGGGAGATCAATCTGATCGTCAATCAGTCTGATCGAGTCTTAATTAAACTTCACGCGCAAATCAGCTTGAATTAAAATTTCGATAGCTTCACCAGTTCCTTTAAACAAAAAAGATCGATAATTATCGGTTCTCACAAGGAAGAACTAGAGACAGTGTTGGCTAACGTGACACATTCTGTATTTAGATACCCATACAGAATAACTCTCTTCGTTTGAAACCTTCCCCAAAAATGTAACAAAATAAGTGCATCCTTATGGATAAAGCCCTGATTTGTGCCAAAATGTCAGCTTTATGCACTCCAAATATTAAAACGATCGGACAATAAAAACCGATTTTATTAAAGTCATTTTACGTGGGGCACCGCCGCTTTTTAAATGTTTTTTATAATAATAGGTATTATATATAACTGTGTGTGAATGTTTGTGTGCGTGTGTGTGTGTGGGCGTATGTGTGTTAGTGTATGCATGCATGTATGTGTGCATTTATGTATATATATATGCGTGCATGTTTGTTTTCTATGTATGTATGTATGTATGTATGTATGTATGTATGTATGTATGTATGTATGTATGTATGTATGTATGTATGTATGTATGTATGTATGTATGTATGTATGTATGTATGTATGTATGTATGTATGTATGTTTGTATGTATGTATGTATGTGTGTGTGTGTGTGTGTGTGTGTGTTTGTGTGTGTGTGTTTGTGTGTGTGTATATGTGTGTTTATGTATGCATGTCAGAATAACTTCGAAACCAACTTTCTACCGAGATATCTTTGATTTTGCGAAAAATGTTAAACACGTCTCAAATGATTTTTCATATAGGTCATTGGAAATGAATTTCTCCCACCAAATCTTTAACTTCCATTTCCACTAAGCAGCGATGGATGTGCGCAAGACCCATCAGAGGAATTTTGACAAAGATCTAGCAATGATTTTGAAGCCGATCGAAAGGTAAGCAAAAAACTTTCATACAAACGTTTTTCGATATTTTATTGCACACATGCGAGTGAAATTTCCCATATAGTGAAAATTTCAGCTAGCTCTTACGATTTGGACTTTGCGTTGATCACCTTCAGTCAATCAGTCAGTCAGTCAGTCAGTCAGTCAGTCAGTCAGTCAGTCATTCAGGACAAACAATTCCATATATAAAGAAGTAAAGTCGGAACTTATCTGCTTACAGGGCATCTTCTAGTCGTGCACTCTCCGAGCAGAGCGCACTTTTTTTTTTTGTGTGCGCTTTCCAATTAAAAATGCGCACAGTTTTCGTCGCAATTGGACTTTGCAGTCGCTGCGGCTTGTACTTATTTGTAAGTTGCACGCATGCTCCGCTCCCCCCCCCCCCCCTCCTTCAGGTCTCCCCTCTCCCCCTCCCCCTCTATGTGTCTGCTGCTCGTGGTGCATATCGTCGATCTGGCAAACCTTCTGCTGCGTCTGTCTGCCGCTCGCTGTTTTCATTAATTTACATAAAAATATCTTAATTGCAATGCGAAGAGCGCGTTTTTTGTGCTCTGCTTGGTTTTTTTTTTTCTTTCTTTTTTTTTTCTTCTGCTTATCAACGGCATGTCATGTCGCCGACGCCTGGACGCCGCGTCCTTGCAACAGCCTCCGCTGCCCAGCATTGCGTCCGTCTTTGGCTGACAAATTCGGTGGCGGCACGTCAAGATCGACGTGAATCTCGAAAAGCCTGCACAATTCGGAGTCGGAGCTGCCAGCCGTACACATGTTCTGCGACACTTGGCCAAGGCTCCACCTCCCCTCCCCTCCCCTACCCTTCCCTTCGGAGCGATCTCTCGCTCCATCATGCATAATCGCTGATAAATGCGCCCTTCAGTGCTACAAAAATGATTTGTTGATAATTAATGCAGAACCAAAAGCGAAAAAAACCAGTTTGCTGCGCGCTCACCTCAAAAGAACAGCAAAAATCGTGTTGTTGCTTTTGTTGCTCTTGTTGCAATCAGATCTTAAACGCAATCAACGCACCGTAATTCATGGCTGCAGCTCGGCATGGCTGACAGGCTGCGACGACCCCAAAAGCAGAAAAAAGAAGCTAAAATGGCCGCAACTAGCCGGCAGCTAATTGCCTGCGGAGGGGCGGAACGTGGAGGAGTTGCACATAACAAGCGCTCAATTAATGCGCTGCTCTAGCTACTTACAGCCTGTATTATTATTCCGCGATCAAATTGGCAGAAAGGAATAACCACGGACAGCAGTGTTGGCTAACGCGCGAGTGCTAGACACGTGTCGCGTGATTGCACTGATATTCCACAACACTCGGCTGTTAACGGGGGCTACATAATGTTAAGCTCTTCTCTCTATCTATTCTCTTTGCTGTTAGACAGTTGCTTGGGGCTCTCTCTCTCTTTCGTTCTTCCTTCCTTCCTTCAAAGCTTTTATTTCGAGTAACCCAAAGTCGAAAACTCTTCATCCGATAGTTAAATAACAAATATCAACTGCAGCTTGCTGGCATTGCACAACACTGGCGGCTTAATAAGCTTTCTTTCAAGCTATTCAAGAAAGAGCAGGAGACAACAAAAGCTAATGCAATTACATACAAAAACCTTGGAGACACTTCACATGGGACTTGCTGGCATTGCACAACACTGTTAAAACGGCAATAATAATAATGCTCTCTTCCAATAAGAGAGAAAGAGCAGGAGACAACAAAAGCTAACGCAATTTCTGAAGATACTTTTAAGAAGAAGCAGCAAAGGAAATGCCTAGAAAAATCAGTGTGCGGCAACAGGAAAACCTTGGACACACTTCAAGTAATTTGCTGGCATTTTACAACACTGCATGGTACAATTTAAACGTTTCTAGTCTTTGCGTGCAATTAAATGTCTTTTGGCAACATGAACTCTCACAACATTATAAAGGAGCTGCATGTTATCCCCACGACAATCAAAATCGATGCACTAAGCTGGCAGCAGGCTGTGCTCAAAGGCGGCGAGCAAATGAAACTTTATGCCGAATTGTGTGCGAAAATCTTTGAGAGCGAAAATCAATTGAACAATGCGAAAACATCGCGCAAATTGCGACATGCAAAAAAGCGAATACATAAACTGTTCAAGCGACTCGATAAGGCCTACAACCAGATGAAGCTCGTTCTCGAAACGCTGAGCGAGATCAGGCTGAGAACAGAGCACATGTGGAGACGCGTCCGCCTCTGGAACGATGATGAGCTGATCCGGGAGCATTGCATTACCTGGGAGCTGACCACGTCCAAGCTGTTGGAATTTCTGCAGTTTCTAACGCAGCGCTACGACTGCGAGTGGGAAATCAAGGAAATGGTCATGAGTGAGTAGCTTTGCCCCGTGAAAAAGGAACTTCAAACTAACCTCTCTAAACCTTCCCAGACGAGCTGGAAAAGGTGAGCGATAACTACGATGCGAACATCCTGTTGGAGGCCTGGCTTGATAATAGTCATGCGGGCGGCGATGAATTCGATCGCAAGCTAATTGCATTCTACAGTTCCATAGGTCAACGTCATGCCACAACCCAATACTACTCCAAATACGCCTGAGCCAGTGTTGTATAACTGACGAAACAAAACATTCCGATTTGAATTGATTTTCGTTTGTTTTTCTTTTTATTTTGTGATGAATTTGAGCGCAGGCTAATTGCATTCTACAGTTCCATAGGTCAATTTTATTCCACATATGCCTGAGCCAGTGTTGTAGCATGCCGCAGAAGCTTAAGTGTTGAATAACTGCATGTTGTGAAAACAAAATATTTAGATTTGAATTGATTTTCTTCATATTTTTTTTTTGAAAAATGTGCTTTCTGTACTTTGATTGAGGCTCCGAATTTGATCGCAAGCTAATTGCATTCTACAGTTTCATATTACTCCAAATAAGCCTGAGCTTTAGTGTTGAATAACTGACGAAACAAAACATTTTGATTTGAAATTGATTTTCGTTTGTTTTTCTTTTTATTTTTATTGGAAAAATGTGTTTTCTGTACTTTGTCTGCTTGCCAAAAAACCTTTATAGTTATAAAGAACTTGCAAAAAATTATTTGATTTTTATTTTTGTTGTTTGTTTTTTGGTTTTTCGTAATTTAAATTTTAATTTTTTGCTTGCACATTTTTAAAATTTGACTTGATTTGTTCTAGTTTTGACTCCACTCGGTAGCAAAAACAAAACTTCATTTTTGTAATTTGACTACAACAACATTTGGTGTGTGTGTGTGTATGTGTGTGTGTGTGTATATGTGTGAGTTTTTGCCCGTTATATAATTATTTATATAATTATCATAATTGTATATAATATGCAATTCTGTAGCTAGATTTTTTTGGTTTGACATACATTTCATCTCATTTCTTCACCTCAGCGCATCGTCGTCTAATTATGTATGTATTTATGTATATGTATATGTATTTTATGTATGTATGGCGTTTTCAACGTGCGCCCATTTGTTTTAGAAACAAATGTTAGTTTTTTTTTTATATTTTTATATTTATCAATTGTTCTTCTTGTCTTAAATTTTGTTTGTTTGCCGCCTAAGTATAATTTTCAATTGGAATTTGGCCTATGCACACACATGCTTGCGCTTAAATAGATGTGTGTGTGTGTGTGTGGGTGTGTGTGTGTGTTGTGTCTTGCCGTAAAACTAACCTCGACCTAACCTTAACAAATTTAACTTAATAATTGCATACTTTTAGGCTAGGGGCTGGGCTAGTAAATGGTTTTCTCCGCTAAACTTCATCCAACGCTTAATGCACTTATGTAATGTTTGTTTGTTTGTTTTTTTTTTTAATTCTATTTTTTTTTTTTGCATGCTTTCAATTATTTTAAGCCTTGCCATTGTCACTTAACTACTTTACAAATTTATTCGCATTTTTTTTCTCATAAATGTGTGTGTGTATAATTTGTTGCCCTCGTTTCCACTGCGAGCGCATCTTTGCGCTGCCGTGGAAACGCCTGCAAATCGCATTTTTTTTATTGTTTTTTTTTTTATTTGTATTTTTATTTCTTAGAAAATTGTTGAACTCGTAAATTGAGTTGGTTTTAAAAAATCTGTTCCCTCCATTTTGGTTTTAATTCATTTTTTTTTGTTATTTATGAATGCTTGTTGTCAATTGTTGCGTTATATGTTTTGTTTTTCTTTTCCTACTAGTGAGTATGTGTGCGTGAGTGTGTGTGTGTGTGTGTGTGTGTGTGTGTAGGTGTGTGTAGATTACAATTAAAATTATTGCTATATATGTATATGTATTTTGCTGCTGCTTCTGATTTGCGTGCTCTTCTCTTCGTTGAGAGCTGAGAGAAAATGAGAGTTAAGAACTGAAACCCTTAGCTAGGAAATTTTTTGTATTTTTTTCTTTTTCTTTGTTGTTGTTGTTGTTGCTGTCTTTTATGCATTATTCTCGTCGTCATTTGTTTAGTTTTGGTTGCTACGTGGAAAAGCTAGAAATTATTGTAAGCGTTTTTTATATACAGCGTGCACCTTTTTTTTCCGAGTGCTTTTTAATAGATATGAATGTTCCGTTATGTGAACTGCAACTGGAGCGAAGAGTGGAAACCAAAAAAAAAAAAGTAGAAAAGCCAAATGCAATGCGGTATTTAAATACCAAATTGACTGGTGTTGTTGTTGTTGTTTTTTTAAAGGGTATTCCCCCATATAGAAATAATCAAATGTGTGAAATAATTGCAAATAATTGTTGTTTATTACACAAAAAAATAGAATACTAAAATTAAAAACCAAACTACTTAAAAGTAAAGCGTGTGTGTTTATGGGTGTGAGTGTGTGTGTGTGTGTGTGTGGTAATTACTAGAAAACGTCTTTGTAAATGTAGATTTTTTGTTGTTTCGCTTTGTTTTTGTTGTTGTTGTTGTTGATAAATTATGCTAATTAAAATACACAGGTAAAAATAATTTCATTGTTTAATAATTGTTTTCTTTTAATGTAAACTTAAGTCTAGCGAAAATCCGTTTTGTTTTTAATGTGCAAAATCAATTTGTTGTGTATGAGTGTGTGTGAGTGTGTGTTTGTTTTTGTTTTTTGTTGTAGAAAGCTTTCATTTATAACCACATTATGTTAATTTGTACACATTTCTTTTAAGTAATTCATTATTAAACAATTGGCTATGTGAGTGTTGTGTATGCAGGTGTGTGTGTGTGTGTGTATCAGTGTGTGTATCAGTGTGTGTATCAGTGTGTGTGTGTGCAAAGTACAACAAAACACAATTTTTATAAAACAGTCCCTAACGCTCAAAACTACTTACTGACTTAAAATCCCTTATACCATAACTTTCCCCTCCCTTCTCCCTTCTCCCCCATGCATGCCCGCCCTTCCCTCCTTCGCTCAACATCTGCGCTTTGCGTCCAGATATATGTATGTGTATATCGCTCTATATATATATATAGTTGTTATATATGCATGTACAGTATACCGATTCCTTTTGTATATGTGTGTCTGTCTGTGTGTGTGTGTGAGTTTTCGCTTTAACATTAAATTGTATTTGTTTTTTGTTTTTTTTTATAATAATTTAAACTAATTCTCGCTTTGCACAAAAAATTTACACAATTTATTAATTTAATTTAGTTTTTTAATTAGGTTTTCGCTTTTTGTTGCTACTCATTGTATAATTATAATTTTTCTCTTAATTTTGTTGTTGTTTTGTTTATAATTATTGTTGTTGTTGGTTTTGTTGTTGTTCTTACTGCTTACGGCAAATTGGTTGTAAATATGTACAAATTTCCTTTTTACTTACAGACTAAAAATGTTTTTCATTTTTCGTTTTTTAAATCTTGCGTATTGTATATGATCTATGTATATAATATATATAAATATGCCCCTATGTGTGGTTGGTTTTTTTTTGTTTGTTTGTTTGTTGTTGTTGTTTTTTCTTTTTGTATATGTATAAATATTAAACACTAAAACGAACGCCAGCCTAAAAAACAATTCTTGCACTATACACAATTCTCAATTAATAAATAGTAATGCTGTTTTTGCTACTCTCAAGACTTAATCGGTTCGGTTTATCGAATCAATCATCGCTCATCGCTCATCTCTCATTGCTCATTGCTCATTGCTAATCCATCTTACTTTCTTCTTCTTCATCATCTTCATCATCTTCTTCTTACTTTGAACACCCTGTGATAAGGCTGTAAGGCGGCGGCGGCTGTTATTACAAGGCTCTGTGTTTACGCTAACTGTGCGTTACACTCTGTTAACAGTTCATGTTTTTAATATTACTGTTACGGCTGCTGTTATTCTTACTGGTTACTTAACTTCATCTTCTTTTTTTTGGACTGTTAACTTCAGTTGTTGGTTGCTTGGTGTTTTATTTGTTGTTGTTGGAGTTTCTTTGTTTTGGTATAGCACTTGTGGATATTTCGCTATTATATGGAAGTACAGCAATTGGAAGCAATCGACTGTTACTGTTACTCTGTTACTGCTACTGTTACTGCTAGTGTTACTGTCACTGTTACTGCTACTGTTAATTCTCTAGTGTTGTGTATTGCTTGTTGTGCGCGCGCGCGTTTATGCTATCGCCGCCGTTAAATAGTATAAGTCCATGAGGGTCTGCACATTGATGGGCAGACAGGAGAGTCGGTCGTGTGTATTGGAATCGAGAGCCAGCCAGGAGAGCGCATTGTAGCCCTCGAGGACAAAGCGCAGGACATCGGCCGTTAAGGTCGAGTCCAGGGGATGATCATTTGCCGACTGATGGGCATTGGTCGAGTTGAGTATATCGTCGGCTATCTGAATGTTGGGCACATGCAAATGCAATGCGGTCTTCAGGAAGACGGGACACACATCCTCCAGATGCGGACAGGCGGACCAGAACCAGGCGGGCATTCGACCCGTCGGCGCCGTCGATACCATATAACCCACCGAAATGGGCTGCTGATTGAGGGAGCCCACCTGCAATCGAAAAGGAGAAACAAGTCTTGAGTAAGTCAATCCAAATGGATAAAATGAGTTATTATGGGCTACGACGCACCTCCTCGACCTCCTGCGGTGGCGTGCATTTGAAATTGTTGCCGCCGGCGCTCTGCCAGCTGCGATTGTCCTCCATGCGTCCCGGGCTGCCGTGATTCGAGACGCGATCCATGTGAGCTGCTGTGCAAAAGGATAATCCGTGAGACAAACGATCAAAGCGAATGCAATTTAAATGCGATACTCACAGTCCCAGAAGAGGTCGCCGATATCGGCATCGCTGAAGTCCTCGTTGCCCTCCTCCTCGCCAAAGATGAAGTCGTCGTCCACCTGCGGCTCGTTCTGGAATTGTCGTGTGAAGGACTGCAAGAAAAAGTCGAGTCAAAATAACAATCAATAGGAATTATTAAAGGAGGTAATCGACAAAGGAACAACGGTAATCGTATATCGGTAAGCAAATCAATTAATCGATAAACCGATTAACCGATAATTAGCGAGTTCTTTCTTTCTACTTACAGCACAGACTGCACTCGTGGGAAAGACCAGAATGTGGGTACGGTAATCCACAAAGGAATAGTGGTTATCGTATATCGGTAAGCAAATCAATTAACCGATTATTTATCGATAATTGATAATCGATTTACCGATAAATACAGAGCTTTCTCTCTCTACTTACAGCACAGACTGCAAAATGTGTGTACGGAAATCGTCAAGGAGACAAGGGTAATCGAATACCGGTAAGCATATCAATTGTTAACCGATAAGTTATCGATTAACCGATAATTAAAGAGTTCTTTCCTTTTACTTACAGCACAGACAGGAAAGGCCCAAATGTGTGTACGATAAGCGACAAAGGATTATTGGTAATGGTATATCGGTAATCATATCAATTAACCGATAATTACAGAGTTCTTTCTTTAAACTTACAGCACAGACGGAACATGTGGGAAAGCCCGGAATATGTGTACGGTAATCGACAAGGAGACAATGCTAATCGGATATCGGAAGGCATATCAATTATTAACCGATTAGTTATCGGTTATTGATAATCGATTAACCGATTATTAAAGAGTTCTCTTTCTACCTACAGCACAGACAGGAAAGACCCGAATGCGTGTACATTAATCGACAGGGAGACAGCGGTAATCGTATATCGGTAAGCATATTAACCGATTAATCGATTAACCGATAATTGAAGAATTCGTTTGTTCTACTTACAGCACAGACAGCACTGGTGGGAAAGACCAGAATGTGTGTACAGGTGACATCCTGCGGCGTCGACAACGGATTCTGCATGGAGATCTGCGAGAAGCGCTCATCGGGCGTAAACTGATCGGGCATTACGCGCAGTTTGGCATCCGGTTCCAGTGTGACCAGACAGGCGGACAGAATGGTCGGCGGATACATGAGAGTGCACTGTTTGCACATGTCCTTGAACTGTTTGGAGGCCTTCTGGAGCTGTTGCTTGCTGAGCAGGTAGCTCCAGGACTTGAGCTCGCTATGGCCGATGCGTCCGATCCGTCCGATGACCAGACGCCACATCTGCGACGTCTGCGAGATGAGGCCCATGACGAAGTCCATGAGCTTGCGCAGGGCCACATAACGTGCTGGCGCCTTGCGTCTGCGCGCCCGATTCGGCACATCGATATTGATGCACACCTTCTCGAGCAGCTCGCCGCGCTCATCCGTCGCGGTGGCCAGCAGCCAGGACTGATCCTCGCTCAGGCAATAATTGCAATACATTACGGAATAACGCGTCTCGTTCTGGCCGTGCATGCTGCCGGCGGCGCGGGAGAAGTCCGTCTTGTCGTTCCGTTCGTGCATCGGCGCCAGGACAAAGGGCGCGGTGTACATCTTGTAGGCACGCCTGTTCGGTTCGTCCTTGGTCTTGAGAAACGCCTCCATGTTGGCGGCGGTGCCGAAGCCCGTCAGGCTCTTGACGGGCTGCGCGTGCACCAGATGCCGCCGGCACTGCGAGAATATATTGAGAGCCAGGCACTTGATCTCGTCCGAGAAGCGGCGCCGATTGCCGCACGGCCCCAGCTCCATGATGGATTCGAGCGAGATGATCTGGATGTTCATCTGGGCGCGCACAGAATCCGGCACGGCCTTCAGGAGCTCAGCATAGCAGCGCAGCAGCGCGATGAGCGCGAGTCGTTCCAGCTCAAAGCTGTCCGAGGCGAAGGTGAAGGGATTCACCACGTAAAGGACGATGGCCGACGGATTGATGTCCTCCAGCGTTTCGCCCATGCCCAGTGGATCACCCAGCACCAAAGCGGGCTTCGAATCGCCGCCCGCCTTGACATCCGCCTTGCTGTCCTGATCCTGGCCGGAGGAGCTGTTGTTGTTGCTGCTCTGCGTCGCGGGCGTCGGCTGCTCCGTGCCCGGCTCCAGCTTGATGACGGGCTCGGCATGCGACTGCGGATGCTCGGCAGCTGGAGGCGCCGCGCCAGGTGCCTTGGTCGAGTGAGTCGAGTGACTGCCACTGGCGGAGGCATCCGGCGGATTGAGCAGCGTCTTGTCGCCGGGCACACGGCTCAGATACGGCGCCAGCTGATAGAGAAAGGCCACGGCATAGCGTCGGATCTGCTCGGCCAGGGGCGCATGATCCAGGGTGCGCAACCAGTCGTCCAGAGGAGTCAACGGTGCCTCCCGATCGGTGCCCACCTGCAGGACACCCTCCCAGCCACGGATGGGCGTGTGCCGGCCCAGCTTGCACATCTCGTAGGTGCTGCTCAGCTCACGGAAATAGGTGCGCGTGCTCGCCGCGACATGCTCGTTATCCGGACACACGACCACGTAGACCACGTCCCGAGCATACGAATAGGGCTCCAGGAGGAACTTGTCCCAATAGTGAATGGAATGCGGCGCGACCGAAATCCAATCCTTCTCGTAACCGACAACAACTGAGGGTATGGGCTGTGGCTCGCATTGGCCGGAGGCGCGTCCGGCCAGACGATGGAATTGGCGCCAGGTAAGCGGACCGCTGACCGTATTGTAGGAGCTGGCATCCTTGGAGCCGGCGGCGCCGCCGCGCGACTTGCAATGGAAGGCGCTCTGCAGCATCGGCTGGATGGCGTTCATCGTGCGGACGATCTCCTTGTTGCTCCGGGTGAAACCGACGGGCAGATAGGGCCACTTGTGGACCGTGAGGCGACTGCTGCCCAGCACGAGGAGCTTCTGGCGCAGGGCGGGCGCCGCCTGGAATGCCGTCAGCTGATGCGATTGCTGCTGGTGAGGATTATGCGGATGCTGCTGCTGGTGAGGATTGTGTGGATGCTGGTGAGGATTGTGTGGATGCTGGTGAGGATTATGCGGATGCTGATGATGATTGTTGTGTCCGAATTCGAGCATATTTATGTCCATGCGCTGGCTCTCGAAGGCGAGCCGTGCCTGCTCCAGCGCCAGGCTGACCACGTCGTGCGCATCCGTAAACTCCAACACGTTCGCAATCGACGCCAGCGAAGCGTTGTTGTTCTGGCCAAAGAGCCGGCGCTGCCGGGACATGCGACGGCGATGTGATTGCAGCGCGCGGTGCACCGAGCTGCTCGAGGTCTGGATAATCGAGCACTGATCCAGCAGCAGATCGAATATCGCATGCGCCAGCTGCTCCAGCTGCTGCTGCTGCTGCTGGGACGTTGTCGTGGTCGTCGTCGTTAGCTTCTCCAGCTCCTTGCCAGACGACGACGACTCGTTGCCCGGCTTATTGTTGCTGCTGTTGCCCTTGCGGCACAAACTCTGAATAAGACTCAGGAGCGTGGGCTGCTTGTGCCTGGCCGGATCGTCCACGATCCCGGTAATCTCCAGCTCATCCTCGTAGAAGAGTCCGGCGCGATGCGACAGCCGACGATTGACGACGGCGCTAAAGCCGCACGTGCACTCCACAGGATCGTCGTCCACATAGCCCGTTATGTGCGGATTGCTGCTGGGCGGAGTGCACGACGAGGAGCTGGAGCCGCCGTTCGGCCCGTGGCCATGGTGCACGGAGCCAGCTCCGGACAGCGCAGCGCAGCCAGGCGACGAGTCCAGCCCACCGCCAAAGGCACTTATCATGCGCATGCCTCCGCCTCCGCCTCCAAATGGATTATAGGGCGTGGCCACCGGATGATGATGACGCTGCGCCGGAAAGGGATTAAAGCTGCTGCCGGGCAACGGGACATAGAGACCCGAGTCGGCGCCGCGTATGTTGCCAATCTTCTGGGTATCCGCATTGCAGACGCAGACGCTGCTGCTGTCGAAATTATGATCCCGGAACACATTCAGCGCCGTATCGTACAGCAATATATTGACCAGCACCGAGTTGACCTCCGGCAACTCCTGAAGGAGACTCATCGCGGCGGCAGCTGCTGCTGCGGCAGCAGAGGAACCGGTTGAGCTGCCGCCGGCTCCGCCGGAATATTGCATCATGGCCAGCTTGGAGCCATCGCCAGCGGGCATCATCCCGGCATTCGCTCCTCCTGCGCCCGCTCCTCCTGCGCCCGCACTCATCGGCCCGAACATGACGTGATGGACACTCTGCGGCGTATGCGGATGACCCGGCGGCTCCTGCGAATTGTACTGCTTGTTAAGGTACTGCGAGGAGGATGTGGATGTCGCCGGACTGGCCGCCGCCAGCTCGTACGGATACGGCGGCGGCGGATGCGTCGGCGTCTGCCGCATTCCGCCCAGATGCATCGGACTGCTGCGCGGAAAGGGCACCACGCCCACGCCCGGCGACGGAATGGGCGACATGCCCGCCGCCGCCCGCTGCATCAGCTGCTGCATGGAGCTGCCGGGCGGCGCCTGCGGACAGTTGAGCTGATTCAGTAGCAACTGGCTGCCGCCGCTGCTCAGCGGCTGCGGCACCGTCGTTCCCGTCCCCGTCGTCGAAGGCGACGGCATCGCTGCATTCATCGGCGTCCTCGGTCCCGCGGAGAGCAGCTCGTGCAGCTGCTGATGCTTATGTTGCTGCTGCTGCTGCTGCTGGAGCTGGAGCTGCTGCTGCTGTTGGTGTTGCTGCTGGAGCTGCTGATGCTGCTGGATGCGCTGCTGGAGCTGTTGGTGCTTCTGGAGTTGCTGCTGCTGCTGCTGCGCGGCGGCCGCCTTGGCGAGGGTTGCGGCCCGTGACTTCTGGCTGTGGCTCCAGGTGGGATTGTAGTAACAGTTGGCGGGCATCTGGAGCGGCGGCTGCGTCTGGCTGGGCAGATTGGTGAGCGGAGCGTAGCGCGAGGAGCCGACGAATTTCTCCTGCTGCGGCGGCCTGTACACATAGCTCCAGTCGTCGATAGGCTCCTCGACGGGGCTGCCCAGCTCCACGCTGTACTCCTGCTTCACCATCTTGAGGACCACGCCCACGCCCAGACCGACGCCCAGGCCCACATTTGTGTTGTTGGTGTCCACGCTCAGATCGGTCATCACGACATCCGTTTGGCAGGGACTCGAGTTGGGATGCTGTTGCTCGTGCGACGGCGGCGTGGGAAACATTTTGGTTAGATCCTCCGCCTGGATGCTGCCCGCACCGGAACTGGCCACGACGGCGGCAACGACGGCGCTGGCCACCGCCGTGCTCCGTTTGAGCTCGTCGATCGTGTTGCTGACGGCGCTGCAGCCGCCATTCGAGGGATTGTTGGAGTCGGGCGGCGTATGGATCTGGACGCTGCTGCACTCGTCGTTGGAGCTCGTCTCGAACAGCTGCTCGAGATCGTTGAGTGAGGGATTGAGGCCTTCGGCGGTGAATAGATTGTTGCCAGCGCTGCTGCTGCCGCTGCCCGCGGTGCTCGTCGATTTGGATTCCTTGCACGGCGAATGCAGGCCCGGCTCCGTTTTAATGTCCAGGCCCTGGAAGAAACTGCTGCCAGTTGTTGTCGCAGCGATGCTGCCGCCTCCGCCTCCTCCACCGAGGAGCGCATTGTCCGCCTCATCCGATGCGCTGCCGTAGGCTCCTCCTCCTCCTCCGGCTATGCCCACCAGCCCGCCGCTGCCGCCGGAGCTGCCTTCGCCGGCAGCTCCTATGCCTTCGATGGAGAGCAGCGGGCCGTAGACGGAGCCGGGCGAGGGCATCAGCGGCTTGAAGTGCGTATGGCCCTCGTACAGGTTCTTGGCGTAACGTGGTCGCCGCTGTTTGGCGGACTCGTTCAGCTTGGGCCGCTTCACGGGCAGATTGTCCCTGCGAACCAGGAGAGAGAGAGAGGGATTAGTTGGAAGCAGGAGGAGAGATTGAGAGATCGAGCACTCACCAGGTCTCCTGAAAGCTAAAGTCGTAGACATCCTTGAGCCATTCCTCGTCGTAGACGCTGTCCCCATCCTTGAGCGTCAGCTGCGGCGGCTTGTACAGATTGAACAGAGTTGTCACCGCTTCCATTGCGCTGCTCGCCAGCGGCACCTGCTGCTGCCCCTGCCCCTGCTGCTGCTGCGAATGTTGGGTGATTCGTGGAGCCAGGCCGGGCTCCTGCTTGATGGCCAGCACCTGCGGCGCCTGCTGAATCTGCATCTCCAGCTTCTTTACGCTAATCGTACCGCATTGTGTGGCACCTCCTGCTCCTGCTCCCGCTCCTGCCCCTGTCGCAGCTGTCGTTGTTGCCGGCGTGGGCGTGGCAGGCTGCTGCTGTGGCACACTGCCAGGCGCGGCAGACCCCCCGCCTCCTCCGGCGTTGCCATGCTCCGCATAGGTGGGCGGCTCGACGCTGGGCGTCTGATGGACATACGGCGAGGCGGTTATACTCTTGTTGTCGTGCTGATCCGTCGGCGTTGGCGCCGGCGTATTCTTGTCCAGCAGATGATCGATCGGCGTCGGCGGCTGCTGCAGATTCGAAACGGATGTCGGCGCATGTGGACTCATATTGAGCAGCTGCAGCGGGGGAAACATTAGCATTATATAATATTTGATAAAAAATATTTGGACAGTCGTCACTTGGACTCACTTGCTCAGCGGGCGGCACCGAGGTTGGCTGCGAGTGCGCCGAATTGGAGAGCGGATGCGGCGAGGGCGCAGGGGTTGCGGGCGAACCCACCGACGAGGAGGCGGCGGCGGCGGCGGCGACCGTTGGCATTGACGACGGATCGCCCAGCGAGTTGCGTGAATATGTTGAGGCGCCTCCGCCTCCGGCTTGGCAGGGCGTGCTGCTGTTGTTGCCAACGTTGAGATGTCTGTGCGGAGAGCGGGAAGAGAGTGAGAGAGAGAGGTGTAAAAGAAAATATTATGATTAGTTTCAAGTTTGTTGCGATTACCTTGCCAAGCGGGACATGCTTGTCGGTTATGTACAATATTAAAAACAACTACGAATTATTTATGGCTAATATTCTAAATAGTTAATCGATTAATCGAAAACGAGAGTAAAAATGGTAAGCAAAAATATAAACACCACATCCAAGAGACAGAGAGAGAGAGAGAGAGAGAGAGAGAGAGCGAGCAAGAGCAGGAGCGAGCGAGCGAGCGAGAGAGCGCAGAGAGCAGTTCCAACTCAAAAACCAAAACAAACCGAAAAAAAAACCTTTGCAGATGCCGAAAAAAAAAATATATACATACTTATGCAAATGCACTGGTTATTTACAGCAATATATATATATGTATATGTTCAGTTGTATGTGTGTGTGTTATTATGACGGGCAGCTACAATCGATAGCACGCGCTCCGATTAACGATTAAATGAGCAAATAATCGCAGACTGAGCGCGCCTGCGTGAATGGCAAATATAACTGTATCTCAGTTTGTTAACAATGTGTGTGTGTGTGTGTGTGTGTGTGTGTGTGTAGATTAATTTGCTGTTGCTGTTGTTGTTATTGTTGTTGCTACACCATGAACCGCAAGTTTAGAGAATAGAAAATAATTGTTATTGTGGTGGAGGTGAATATGTTGCTGTCGTTGGCTGCGGGGAAGGAGCTGCGAATGTGGCGCGCCGTTGCAGCTTAGTATATGTACGAGTAGGTATGTGCGTGTATGTGTGTAAGTGTGTGTTTGACTTTCGAAATAGGTTTAAGAAATACTTAAAATAACCAACCAACAAAATCAAAAACATAATGTTAAGAAGTTAACAGAGCGTGTTGTGTTGTTGTTGCTGTTGTTGATGGCAGAAAGAGAGCGATAAAAAGAGCGCATGGAAATAACAGAATATAAACAACTTAAGGGAGCGTGTGTGTGTGTGTGTGTGGGGGGGGGGGGGGGGGAGGAAGGGAATATGCATATGTGTGTGAGTGAAATTTAGAGCGTATTAAAAATTGATAGAAAAATCCAAAGGAAATTAAAACATATGGCAACACTCCACACACACACACACATACATATATACACACAAACACACACGGCTGAACAGCGACACAAACCTTTGTTTTGGTATATTGGTGTCTGTTGTTGTTGTTGTAGAGGAAGTTGTGTTGTTGTTGTTGTTGTAGTTGTAGTTAGGTTTAAGCGCGGTCTGAGTATTGAGTAGAAAACGCTGGTGAAACGGCACAATTTGTCGCTTGAGGCCAACAGCAGTGTGGGAGGAGTAGTAGGAGTAAGAGGAGGTGATGCAGTTGCTGGCAAAGTAGCCAACACTGGAACTGGAACTGGAATGATGCGTCGCTGCTGCTGCCCGTTGATGCTGCTGCTGCTGCTGCTGCTGCTGCTGCTGCTGCTGTTGTTGTTGTTGTTGTTGGTAAAGCTGAAACGTTGATTTGCTGCTGCTGCTGCTGGCGACGCCGATCGCAGCACGCAGCGCTGGCGAGCCAATGCCGCCGCTGCTGCCGCTCTGCTGGCGCTTGCCGCTGCCGACGCCGCCGCTGCTGCTACTGCTGCTGCCAGTGCTGCTGCATTGTGCGCTGAAATTTGGTGGGTTTTCGTGTTAAACTTTAAACTCAACTTTCAACACATTTTCAGGAGCGCGTGGTGAGTTTAAGTTAGACATTTCTCTTTTGCTTTGCTGTAAGCGTATTTAAATCGATAACACATGCAACGCTTATCGATAAACACACACACACAGTTAATAAATGTTAAAAAAAAAAACTATCTATATATATATATATATTAGAGCTGAGTTGCTGCAAACTGTTTTCTAGGCATGCCTTTAAAGCGGTTTCTCTTTTTCTATGGCTAACAAATTCATCGCAAAAATCACACATACTCCAAGAAAAGATAAAAAAAAAAAAAAAAGAAAATAAATAACAACAATGGAGAGCACACAACTCGCTGTGTGCGGTGCAACAGAGGGAGAGAGAGAGAGCGAACGAGAGAGAACAAGAGGCTTAAGAAATACAAGTGGAGCAGGAGGAGCAGTTGAGAGAGCGTAACAAGTGTGAGTGAGGGAGAGAGAGGGAGAGCGAGAGAGAGAGGCACTTACTTGGTGCATATGCAGGGCGCCTTTTGCATTGGATCCACAAAGTTCCAGAGCTTTTGACGCTTCTGCTGCTGCTGCTGTTGGATTTGCTGCTGCACGTGCTGCTTGGAATCCGTTTGCTTATTCTCCTCCTCCTCTGCCGCTGCTGCGGCTGCTGCTGCTGCCGCTGCCGCCGCTGCTGCATCGACATGCAGCGTATTCATGATGCAATCCTGCCAGGCACGCTCCGGCATTTCGATGGCCGCCGTGGCGGGAATATGAGTATTATTTGTATTGAAGGTGAAGCCCGATGTGGGCCGCTGATCGTAGTAGGGCTGAAACGTTAGACGCTCCAAGGCGCTGATCGCTTGCGTTGTCGCTTTCCTTGAGTCCTTCGCTGCCGCTGCCGCTGCCGCCGCTGCTGCTGCTTGCGTCGCTGCTGGCATCGCTGCTGCTGCTGCGACAGGTGCTGCTGCTGCTGCTGCCGCTGCCTGATCGTTAGCCTTGTGCAGCTCGGCAAACTCCATGTGCTCCATGTCGTCCAGATCCGTGACTAGTACATAATTCGTGGGATGATACATCTTATGACCACCTGCACAAGCAAGACACAACAAAACGAATAAATAAATATATATATATATATAGGAGGAGGAGGAGGGGGAGGGGGAGCACTCACCCGATACCACCTCAACGACGGGTGGCACATCCGTGTTGTCCTTATTGCACAGCGGAAAAAACGAGGCCCAATCCTCGAGTATCTTTTCGGCCATGGGATCGCTGGCCTTGTAGCTGTTGCCGGTGAGTATTGCCGCAATTCCAAACGGCGCCAGCATCACTTTGCGCGCCTGCGTTGGCGTTGGCGTCGCTGCCGCCGCCGCCGCCGCCGGCTTCTCGTCCAGCAATGGTGAACCGGCCGGCAAGGAGGTTGTGCTGCCATTTGAATCCGGCTGCTGGCCACGTGCCGTGCCCGACGTCTGACCACTGGCTGCGGCAAAGGCAGCCGCCGCCTCCGCCAGGTGCTCCTTGGTCAAAGGTCGCACGGCGGGATGCTCGCGCAGATCTATCGAGGCGCAGACCGTGTCGCCATGCACAAAGAACGTGAACGAGAAGGACAAGTGCTGCGAGCTGAAAGAGAGAGAAAACAGTTAACATTTTGTAGCCAATCCTCTCAAGAAATAGATTGGAAATGTGCCTGGAAGAACGATGCGACCGCACAGGCTGCAATGCGGCCGCACAGAGTTCCAGTCTGCAAGTATTTAATCTGGGATGCACGCCAGGACGCCCAACGGAATCGACTCTCAGCAATTGGGCGCCATTTGTGGAGCAAGTGCATCCCCTGCTCTAAAAACAAATCCCTTTGGGACTCACCTGCGCCCGAACAGACGATCGCTGGAAGTGCACGGCTGCACAAACCATTTGCCGAAGCGTACAATGTCCTTGGTCAGCACAAATCTGCAAGAGGCAAGGATAGGATTAGCGAGGGATTCAAATTGTCAGGTGATTCGTTTACCTCTCCATGAGATTGTGCAGCGCCTTGAAGAGCAGCGAACGGCACTCGTAGGTCAGCTCGCCCTTCCAAGTGCCGTTCCAGAGCGATTGATTGGCTGGAAATGAACAGAAAGATGAAAGACCGTTAGATGAATCAGGTAAGTTTGATTAAATAGAATACAAAACAAATATATTATAATAAATAATTCTAGAAGAATCGAACTTTAATTGCATTCGCGTAAGAAAATCAATTTCCTTTCAACTTTGCTTGACTTTTGCACTGTGCAACACTGTTATTTACTGTACATTGAGTATAAACATGTAGATATGATTGATATTATACTATTATAATAAATAATTCTAGAAGAATCGAACTTTAATTCCATGCGCGTAATAAAGTCATTATCGTTTAAAGCGCGACTTTGTTCCACTGTGCAACACTGTTCTTCACTGTATATTGAGTATATAAATATGACTCTTCGCCATGTTTGCATTAAAATCCAATATATACAAGGAATTACCTCATTCTAATCAAACGTCAGCACATTAAAGCTTCTACAGCCCTTTCAATTAAATTCACAATTAGTTTTACTTAAAGACTTAAAATTAAATATCAAGAAGACAAGTTGAAAAAGTTGACAACCTTTTAATATAAAAGCTTTCAAATACCCATTTCAATTTATTTAAACCCTATTTTAGCTTCGAAAATGAAGCTAAAAATAAGTATTTAGACTTAATTTCATTTACTTTACACAGTTAATTGCGCTTAAAGTTCAAAAGCTTAGTATTCAAACGCTATTCAACACTATCTCACTCAGTGTGCTGCTCAACACTGGAAAGCCTATTCCATTCGATTCCATTGTAAACACAGCTTGAAGCACTCGCTGCTACTTCCTTGAAATCAGTTTCTCATAAAAAAGTTAATTGGAAACGTTCCAGTTTTGTTTATTTACATTTGAAAACGTTCCATTTACAGATTATGAGTGGAACGCATTCAAAAGGCGGAAAATAACTGAGTAGCAAGAAACGGACGCGTGCTTCTCACATATGCACATATACACACATGTGTGTTTGTGTGTGTGTTTTAGGTGACAACACATAAACAATGAGCAATAACAACAACAACAACAACAGAACAACAGCAGCAAGAAGAACGCAAAACATTCAACGACGCGCTGCAAATTTAGGCAGCAAAATTTAAGCGACGCGCGCTTCGAGAATTTTTCAAAAAGGCCACTTAATTTGTTATTGTTTTGCGACGCACGCAGCCCAATGACAAACGCGACAGAGAGAGAGAGAGAGAGAGAGAGAGAGAGAGAGAGAGAGAGAGAGAGAGAGAGCGCGGCAAAGAGGGAGGCTGGATTAAGAGAGGGCGAGAGTGAGCGTAGACACATAAGTGTTATTCACAGCTAGTGCAAGCAGCGAAGACGAATAGGAGAATATGTAAATGCAAGAGAAGGAAAAGAAACCATGAAAACATGAAGAAGAAGAAAAAAACGGTCCCCAGCAGCAGCAGGCCAAAAGGCAGGCAAATCAAAAGCGGAAGCGCAAACAAAATGCCACTTTAAAACAAAACAACAAATCGCCTATTTACTATGCGGCAACGAACGAGCAGAGCGAGGGGGGAAGAGTCGAGTAATTTTTTGGAAAATTCCAAGCATCTCACACACACACACGTATTTGCACAAGCGACGCCAGACACCTACACACGCAGCAGCGTTGGCGACAGCGACGGCGACTGCGACGTCATCGACAATTACAGGGCGCAGCAGCAGCGCCGGTTCACCCTCTGCATGGGGAAAAACACACACACACACACACACACGCAAGAGGAAAAAATAATAAGCAAAAGAAAGAGGCCAGCCAGAGGCGCAGACAAGGCAACACCAACAAATGTTGCAAAGATAATTACGTAAAGGTAAACAACATTATAAATAACAAAACACAAGCAAAAGAGAAGAGCAGCAGCGCGGCGGGCCACTCACTCTCGCACTCAAAAGCAAAGAGTGCTGCGAGCAGGCCGGCGAGTGAGCGTGAGAGTGAGTGAAAAACGTATAAAAGCAGCGAGTACCGCCGACGTTGGCAGCAAAACAATGCAGCGCACAGAGGCAGAGGCAGCGGCAGTGGCAGTGGCAGCAGCAGAGGCAGTGGCGTAGGCTGGGCTTTGGATATTTATGCTGTTGGTGGGTTTTTGTTGTTGTTGTTGTTGCTGCTGCTGCTGCTGTTACAAGCCTGCTTGTGTATTTCATTGTTTGTAAGTGTGTGTGTGTGTGTGTGTGTACCTTCTTTCAATGAGATCAGCGTAAATTTTTACCAGAGGGCAATGTACGATTATGTGTGTGTGTGTGTGAATATGTGTTTAAGGCATGTGCATGTGTGTGTGTGTGACTGTTAGTTTTGCCGCCGCCCAGTCGGGGGCCATAGCCGAAACCCACAGCAAATGTCAAAAGCCCGCACCAGCACGGACACATAGAGAAAGAGAGAGCGCGACAGAGAGAGAGAGAGAGGGAAAGAACGCAAAAGGGTAGCAACAAAACTGCTGCAGCTTCAGAGCTTCAAACAAAAGAGTCGAGTCGCTACGAAGCAGAAAAGGAACGCAACAAACAAAAATTAAAAAATCCCAAGCCTACAAAAATCTACAACAAAATACAATACAAAACAGAAATTGCCGACGCGCCGCTCTTTAGCCGGACTTGGACTTCGTCTGCAGGCGGCGCCGAATCTCATTCCCGGCCATAACAGGAATATGACGACGGCTGCTCAATGCAAATTCCAAATACACACACACATACACATACATCAATACAGACGGACAGACAGACAGACAGACGACAGACATACCTACTATGTATCTGTGTTTTTTTGTAGCACGTGTGGTTTGTGCACATGTTGCTGCCGACAGCGACTCACGCAGCGCGACAAAGATAGAAATGAAGAGCGCAGCAGAGAGATAGACAGAGAGAGAGGGAGAGAGCGAAAGAGTGGGTGAGAGTCCGTAACAGAGTGCCTGTATCTGTGTACTAAATATGCGCAAACATTCGCTGTTGCTGCCCGCTCATAAGTGAGTGAGTGAGTAAATGAGTGAATGAGTAAGCGAGCGAGTGACTGTTGTTTGGGCAAAAGTGCCGCTAGTTTTTTAAAGCATGCACTCGTTCGCTCGGGCGCTCTCCCACACACACGCACACACACACACAAGGTGAGAGAGCCTTTCGCTGTTGTTGTTTGTGCTTGAAACGCTATTTTAGGTTAAAAATTTGCTACCACAGCAAAAGAGGCGAATAAAAATGACGTGCAAACGGGCCAACAATGACAAACGTGCGAATGCATGTGTGTGTTTGTGTGTGTGCGTGTGTGTGGGTAATTACAATGCCTTGATATAATTTTACAAGCGTACGCCACAATTTCACAACAATAAAGTGTGTAATTTGAAAACTTTGCGTGTGCAACGTGCAACAAACGGTAGGTGGTGAAATGGAAAATCAAATACAACATTTGCTGTTGTATTTATTTATTTAATCAAGGTCAATAATCTATGGCTCAGCGACGGAACGGGCGCTGTGCTGAGCACACATTGAAAATTGGTTAATAAGCACAATAACAACAACAACAACAACGGCGACAGCAGCAGCAGCACGTAAAGCAGCGGCAAAACGGAGCGAATGCAAAATTTTGCAACAACAAAGCGCATTGTAATTAAGCTTAAAAACCAGTTTCAAAAACGCGCACAAAAGAGAACAAACGAAAAGAGCGCACAATCACACACACACTCACACACACATACACCCATACACATGCATTAGCGCTGTGAGCTCATAATTATTAGCCCCAATTGTGGAGCGCGCTCACACAAATAGAGCGAACGAGCTAGAGGGAGAGATAAACACACACGCACACGCACACACACACACACGCACACGTAGAATGTCAAAGCAGCAACAAAGTGACAGCTGTTTATGGTAAAATGAACAACACGGACAGCAACAGCAATGACAACAAGTAGCGACAAGTTATTCGATAATATCTAATCATGTTTCTCGCATATACAGGCTGAATATCAAGGGATTGTTAATTTCGGGCTCATATTGTTCTAGGCAACCGTTATAAACAAAATTGGAAAGCGAAAAGCACTCTCGGCAAGTGTTGAAAAGAGACGCACTCAATAATGAGCCGCTGGCGGTGTGTGTGTGTGTCTATGTGTGTGTGTGTGTGTACAATGTAGTGACGTCTGTTTTTTGCGGCCCAAAAGCAACAAAAGCTGTGGCAAGTTGTACAACAACAACAACAGCAGCAAATATAGCAATATCATTACTTTGGCTCTGTTGCTGCTGCGTTGCCACTTTTCACTGGGCAGCAGCAGCAGCAGCAGGCACTTACGACGGACGGCACGGCGCGGCGCGTCTGTGTCTCGTCTCTCTGGTTTCATTCACACGCACATACACACATATATACACACTCAAACATTATACTACATTCACATTCGCACACAGCTGCAAAGAAAGCGCACAGCTTTTTGTTTGTTGTTTGCGGCAAAGTAAAAGGCTATAAAAAGAAAAGAGAATTCGCACACACACACACACACACACACACACAAACGCGCACATCGAGACAATGTAATGTCAATGCAATTAGTCAATGTCCTTGTCATTAAAGAAAAGAAAAAAAAAACAGCGCGCCGTTGACGTCGGGGTCGTCAACAATTTCACCACAGCAGCAACAGCAGCGGCAGCGCATTCAACTCTAACGCCGGCGTCATCGTCGGCAGCAGCAGCTAACTGTAAAAGTCGAATGGCCGCAATATGACGTCGAGCAATCAAACGGGGTGGGCTAACTACGTTACGATTACGATTACGCTTACGATTACATTTAACGTTGACGTATGCTTTAGCAGTGGAATTTGCCACTAGAGGGAGACACCAAAAAATTTAAAGAGATAGCCTGATAATTTGTGGTACCAGATAGCGGGCATGTGTGCGAAGCAAAAGGCAAAATTAAATAAAAAATATATTAGCCACACCGCAAAAACTACTGATAAGAGCCAAACAGCAGCAGCAGCAGCGGCAGCGGCAGCAGTGGGGGCAGCCAGCAGTAGCAGTGGGAACAGTTCGAGGCCGTCAACGTTTGCGAGTGCGAAGAAACAACCCCTTAAAAGCAGCTGCAGAATCGCCAAGGCGGCCGAGGTAAATACCAAGAGAGAGGGAGAGAGAGAGCGAGAGGGAGAGCGCTTGAAAGAGCGTGAGTGCGCCCACCATAAAGAGAGCCGAAACGAAACAAAAACATTGCAAATGACACAGGTGACGTTTCAAGCGTGGGCTGACCACAGCGCTGTGGGCGGCATGAAGGGGGAGGGGGGAAGGCAGAAATCGACGTCGTTCTGCTGCTGCTGCTGCTGTTGCTGCTGACAGACGATGAGCGCGCCATGTGAATGATGTGTTGGAGAAACAACAGCTACAAAGCACACACACACACACCTACACACGTACATTTATTTGATAAACGCGAGCGAGCGCGCTTTTTGAGTGTGTGTGTGTGTTGTCTGTGTGTATTGTTTTGGTTTGTCTCATGGGTACAACAAATTTTTTGCTGCGCTGCACGCGCTGCGGCCTTGAAGTTTTATTAAATTTATAAAAAGCTCATAATGTAACGGACGTTCTCAACATTTTGCATTACTTATGCATCTACTGTACACACACACACACACACACACACACACACATGTATATATCTATGTGTACTGTTTCTACTGACTGATGATAAATGCACAGTTAAAACTGTTAGAGCTGGGCACATAAATATTTTTTAGTAGTTGCCTTTTGTGATGTTATTGAACACTAAAATGGGGTGTTGGTAAATTCCATTCGAAAGTGTGAACAATTGGTTGAAATCGAAAGTTTATTGGTTTATCATTTAAAAATCTCTACATAAATTCATTGGAAACACGCCTATTTTCACCCAAACACGTGACAAATATTCGGTCAACTGAACACTAAAGTGGAGTGTTGGTAAATTCCTTTCGAAATTGGTTGAAATCGAATGTTTATTGATTTTTTGTATGAAAAATCTCGTCAAGGAAAGGTCAAGCTTTACAAAAGAGGTCAACTTTTTTTGAATTTATAAAATTGCTTTGGTAAACTTGCAGTCGCGGAAGAACAATTATATCTACATAAAAAGATGTGTTTTGAAGATTTACAAGAATCCACCCCAGCGTATGGAAAATAGGTGAGAATCGGATTTGAAATGTGATTTCTAAGCAAATCTTCTTATAACTATAATTATTGGTTTTCTTTGAACTTACCAGCTATTTTGAGGAGCTCCGCATCGACGAGCTCACTGAGATCCGGCTCCTCGCCATACCAGAAGATCCAGAGCTCCTTGGCGGCGGCCAGCGATAGAGGCGGGTGGACAGTGGTCGATGTGGTAATCTCAAAGTTTAAGGCATTCGGATCGGTGTTGTCCTGCTTGGTGGATTGAACGCGCCGCCAAACGCACAGCATATCCGCCTGCATGCATCGTGAATAGGAGCGCAAGATCGGATCGGCGAGTGGATCGCTTGACGCATTCGGCCGTTCGCCATTAACGAACTTGCGCCATTTAATTCCACACAAATCAGTCTGTTGAAGGTAGGTAGAGAGAGAGAGAGAGAGAGAGGGAGGAGAGTGTTAGTTGACTTGTTGTTATCATTTATTGCTTCATTATAATAATATCGAGCCCGATAAGAGCGCGACCAGAGATATATTACGAAATACATATAGTATATTCATGCCATTGCACAATCGATAGGTTGGCCAAGTGTTTGCATATTGCCAAGCCACAATAGCTATTCGATAGAATTAACTGTTCCTTCAACTAACTTTTGTTCAAATTAACTTCACTTGACTAACCGAATTAAGTTAAATGCTGAAGCGATAAGAAAACAGACAAGCAGCTGTTTGTATCTTTGTTTACATTTTGACAGCTGCTTTATTTGCTTTATTGCGTAAAAATATTGATTAATATTATTTTACTAAAAGTAAAAGGCTTCTGAGTCACGGTTAGGTAAATTTCTGGCCACCCGTTTACAGTAAAAAACAGCTGATTTTGGCCATTGCCCGCGCACGCAGTGTTGGTTAACGTGTAAAAGTGACATGGAAAAAGTCAAGACATATAACTGTAACTTCTCCGGATCGTTAAGTTTAGTTAGCGGCATCTGACATGGACATTAAAAATGGAAACATAAATCCCACTTTTTAGGGCTAGATTGGTTTCTTCCAGAAATCTCGATTCCCTCGCAACGGTATATGCTATGACTTAGGAGGTGTCTTCTTCTGCTTAGTATTAACGTTCACTCTATTGAATATTTACTGTATTTAAGCATTTGCATTTAACTAAACCAACTCCCACATTTTGTTTACAGACCCTACGCAACGATTTCCAGCAAAAAGCTCGCCATACAAATGAAAACAACTGTGTATGGCAGTGTTGCAAAATGCGGCACACACACACACACACACACACGCACATTCCACACAGTCACCGATGCTGCACTTGTAACAGAAACAGAAACAGAAATAACAAAAACGAAAGGCTTAACGCGAAGCTCAAAACATGAGAAGAGCCCAAAGCAGAAGACGACGGTGAATAAAAGAAAACCTAAGCAACAACAACAACAAATGAAAAATGAGAGAGAGAAAAAAAGACTGAAGAAAAAACTGGCTAGGGTCGTGTCTTTGGCTCGTCATTGGCGGCTTCCGTTGCGAGTTGTAGCTTTGGAACAAGTTGTCGTACTAGTTGTTGTTGTTTTTGCTGCTGTTGTTGTTGCTGTGGCAAGCACAAATCAATGGCCAAAGACAACACAGCACAAAAGAGCCTCAAGCAGAATACAAATTCAAAAAACTGCGCACAAACACACAGACAATAACAAAAAATGGCCAAATAACTGCACCTCACACACACACACGCACGCACACAAACGCGCGCGCAGACAGAGCAGCCGCGGCAACAATAACAACAACAACAGCGCAAGCAAGCAAAAGGTATTCCCCAAACCACGAATGGCTGCCGACAACGACGACGAGCGTCGCCCCCAACATCATCAACAGCAACAACTACAGCAAAAGCAAAAGCAACACAACAACAGTTCGTTGCGTTCCACATTCTTCCCTTGATTTTCGTATTTCGTTTTGGGCATCGCGATTTGTGTTTTCATTTTTCGCTCTCGTTTTTATGCTACTCGCTACTTCGCTACTTTGTTGTTGTGCGCGTGTGTGTGTGTAAGTTATTTACATACATATGCATGTATTGGCAGTTACTTTTGGCTGTGAAATCGCATTCATATCTTTTCCCTTACTACTGTCTAATCAAAATAATTTAGCATCTGGACGTTTTTCAACATTGTCAACAGCAGCAACAACAAATTACGTTCAGGTCGCTGTCTTTTATCTGCCGACGTCAGCGTCGTCTCGTTGCACACTCTCGCAAACACACACACACACACGCATACACATGTGTATCTTTGCAATTTTCATGCTCAATCGACACTCTGCATGCGCTGGCGGCTACGCTGCCTTGCGCTCGTTCCTAGCCTGTGGGCCACACAATATCTTGGTGCGCCTTTCTCTCACACACGCACACACACACACACATGTACGCTCTCTGCATGTGCTTGTTATCATTCTTCTGACACGCTTTGCTAGTGTTTGTTCACGCGCGCGTGCCTCCCAAGTTCAAGCTGACTTCTTTTGCTTTTATTTTATCTCTCTAATTGGGTCCGCTGCCAAAGCAAATTCTCTCTCTCTCTCTCTCTTTGCCGCTCTCGTTGGACTTTACTCGCTCAGAGAAAGTTTTGCGCGTTTGTTATTGTTTCGTTATTTCGCATAGCGTTCGTTGGCGCGTCGGCCTCTGTCGCTGTCGCTGCCTCTGCCAGCGCTGCTGCTTCTTCTGCTTTTTACAACGTTATGGGCCGACGGCGGGCGTGTGCAGCACGTTGACTTGTCTACGCTGGCGTCGACGTCGACGACGCGCTCAAGCGACAATTTGAGCTTTTCTTAAGCGTTTAACTCGTGTCTTTTACTGTTACCGTTGTCTTGTCTCTGAGCGAAATTCATTAAAGAAATATGCCACTGGCAGCGCCGCTTTTATGTGAAAAAAAAAGAAACGGCGCGAGCCGGCGGCCAACTAGACGCCGCAGAAGAACCTGTTATGGCCGGCCACAGTTGTCGCATACATGTATACACATACTCGCACGCATACTCATACACAAACCTACACACACACATAATACATTTTTATTGTTGCTGCCTTTGCTTTTCTTTTCTTTGACTTGTTTTGTATCTATGCATAGTTCCGCTTTTGTGCGTGAAAATAACGTTATATAGCGCGCCTGTGAGAGTGAGAGAGCACGCAAACGAGTGAGAGACTTAATCAATGGCCACACTGGCCGTGTGTCTATCGATAAACAGCTGTCGATCGGCGTGTGGGCGGGCGGGCAAACAACCTGAAGCACCCTGTGCTGCATTGTCACTGACCTAGATCTAAGCAATTGGCAAAGAACGGAAATGGCAAAATGGAAAGAGAGTGTAATAGGGTAGGGAGGAAGGGAGGGAGGGGAGGGGGGCGTATAGCACTTACCAAGGCATAAAAGTTTGTATGGCAGTCCTCCAAACTTGCGCCGTTTGTCTGGTGATTTTGATGCGTCATAGTTCTTGGCTTATTATATTTGCACAACAGCAGCACCTCATTTTCTCAAGATGTATGTATGGGATATTGTGTGGGAAATTTTATAAAATATATATGCACACATATATATGTATATTTATATATATGTTAAGTATTTTGTATGTTGTTGCACATTTGCTTTGATTGGATTTTTTGCTGCTCTTGTTGTTGATGTTGTTGTTGTTGTATTGATTCTTCTTATATGACAATAGATACAGTGAGAGAGAGACATACACATACACATACACACGGACACAGGCACGTACACAGAGACACAAATTGCGTTGCTCTTTGTTGTTGTTGTTGTAATTATTATTTTGAGTGCACTTTTATTTTTGCTGTTGATTTTGCAGCTGTTGCAGTTTGCAGCTACTTGAAATTTTTGGCGTTTAATCGCAGAACAAAAACGCACATTTGCAATTAATTATAACACGTATTTTTTATTAATTTTAATTCTTTTAATATTTTATGTATTTTCTATCTATTTTGAATGCACTCAGCACACACACAAATACGCATTCTGCGGCACTTTTTCATTTTTCGTTGTTTTGCTGTTGTGTGTGTGCGTGTTATTATTTACTGCACTGAAAGAGAGAGAGACATGAAGATTATTGCTATTTATATTGTTGTTGTTGTTGTTGCATATATCGTTTAGTGCGCGCGTTTCCGAACCGAAAAACACGTTCAGTTAAATCAATTTCGAAATCAGCAACATCATCGCCGTCAAGTTTATAGCAGAGCGCGAGCGAACGAGCGTGAGAGAGACTTGGCCTGCGAATTGCACTCACAACAGACACACACACACACACATACACACTCGCATACGACAATGAAAAACAATTTTGTATTTTTAACGTTTTTGTCTTATTGTTTTTTATGAGGTCTACTGCTACTTATTTGTTGCTGCCTCTGCTGCGCTCTCTCACACACACAGGCACGTAAATGTGCGGCAATTACAAGGGTGGACGGCCGCAGCAGCACACACGTTCATCTATGCTCCACTCTCTGACGCTCTCTCACTTCATGGAGCTGAACCACTGTCCATTCATTCGACACTGAGCGCCGCATGACGGGAGTGCGAGCGTTTTGGTCGAGGCACACACACACACACAGACACACAATAAAAATTGACTTTTTCAAGGCGCGCATTCGACGTGACGAGAACGACAACGACTGGGCTACTTCTATGTGTTCGTGCGTGTGTTGTGTGTCAGCGAAAGAGCGAACGAGTCACACACATGCATGCATACATATAAACACCGACGCACGACGATGAAAGTCGTCGAGTTTTCGTTAATCGTTGATGTAGACAAAAAAAAAAAAAGAAAAAACTAATATAGGTAGTTTTTTAGCTACAGTTTATACAAAGTAAATACGTATTCTTTTTTTTATATATGTATATTTTTTAAATGCGTCGTTTTTTAACCGTCTGTTGCAGCTGGTCGCTTATAACGGTGCCTTGCTGTTGCGACGTTTGCAAAAAAATGCATTTTAAAATACATTTTTCTGTATACATTTTTGGTATTTCGATTTTTCACAATACAAGTTGTAAGTTATTTGCGGTTTGCGTGTTGCGACTCTTTCTGCCCGTCTCGCGCACTCTCTTCGCAACAGAGGTAGGAAGCAGCAGCAGGCAGATGAGTAATAGTAAATTGTAATGAGCTTGTGCTTAAAAAGGAGCTCACAAACACACATGCACACGCACACACGTACACAGAGTGTTGACAGCGACGGGAGATTCGATTGAATTATTGTTAATCAATTTGTATCGAGAAGTTGCACCTTGCACTGCCTTCTGTGCCGCGTTAAGTATATATTCTTTTTAATTTATTACTCAATAATATGTGTGCCTACATATATATAAATATATATTTTGCGTTTTTCTCGCTTTTCGCACAACACCAAATGACGAGTCAGAAAATTTTAAACCGACTGCGAGACCGTTTCTGCTGCTGCTGCTGCTTCTGGCTGGCAACGACAACGACAACGACGACGCGACATCGCCACACACAATGGAAATTTCGCTCGTCTAGCTTTGCTTTTGGGTTGAGTAGTTGCCAGAAGAGAGCAACAACTACGAGCAGCAGCGAGTAGCGAGCAACAGCAGCAGCCCACTCAAAAGCAGATTTGTGAGTTCTCTCTCTGAACGAATAGCGGCGTTTTACTCATTTTGCAAGTGAGCGTCAGGCAGAGAGATTGCGAGAGCGTGAGAGAACCGCGCGTCCAAACAAGTTTGTTTTCTAGAGTATGTGTGTACATGTTTATTAAACGGCCGCTCACTCTCTCTCTCTCTCTGTCTTGCTGTCTCTTTTGTGCATCGCCCTCTACTTGAATGCTGCCTGCTTAGGGATGCAACTTTTTCAAAACCGGAGAATAACCAGATCGATTTGCTCGACTGTGGCGCAGACAAAATGGCCAGTTGGTCGTTTTGGCGAATGAACCATGCCTACGGTTTTTTCCGTTTGTAGTGGGAGGAGTTGCGGCGGGTGTCAATGATCTGCCGCAATGGATTAAAATCAGACAAAAATTTCAAAGAATCAGAATTCAAATCTGTGTGCTTCATGTTTTATGCACTATACAACACTATGCACACACATATACATCTATATGCATATAGAGTGCGAAACGTGATACATAGACAGCATTCCTCTCGCATTCACACGCACACACACACACACACACACACACTCGCACAACCATGGCAAACGCACCTATGTGTGGATATACATACACTCACTCACTCACACATTTACATTTAGCAGTGACGCGAGCAACCACTTTCGTAGGTTTTCTTTCAAATGTGTGGTACACATATCTTTTTTTTTATATAAATATATATACATATGTTAAATTCTGCCAAGTGGCCGTTTAAAGTTCTCGATTTTTTTCATTTTGTATGTTACTATTTTATTTTTTACACAGAAAGTCGCGGCTTTCCTCTGTTCCTTTCGTTTGCATACATATATAAATATATGCGCACTCACACATACGCACTGCACGGCACTCATCACACACACACACACGCACACACAAAATGATCCCCTTCTCAGCGGCAAGCATTCCAATTATTAATGCTATTGCGGAAATATTTAAATGCAGTTATGTATATAATATAATGTATGTAATTATGCTGGATTGTTAAACGGCCCCACTTTTATTTATGTATATTAATTTTAATGTGCTTCACTCATGGCTCTGCCTCTTTCTCGCACGACACACATACGTGCATATGTATGCGGACGTACGTATGTATGTATGTACATATTTTTCGCATTTCTTTGGCTTTTTATCATTTACATTTCTTGTATGCTGTGCCAACTTTCTATTCACATTCTGATGAAACATGCACTTCTTACGACTAACCGGCGCGTTACTTCGTCTGCGTCTCTTGTACGTACACACTTGGCGGTTTTGCAGCAATTTTAAATTTAATTAAAATTCACGGAGCAAAATTTTTCCAGCAAACTGCCGTTTTCTTTGCGTTTCTACGTCCGAACGTCGCGACGGAGTGTTGGCAAGCGCCACGGTTAAGCGTTGCATTTGGTTGGTATTCAGCTGTTTGCCATCGACTAGTACGCAGCTCACACAAAATGCTTGCAGACACAAATTATATGAGCCAATTATGTTACGAAAACAATTGTTAAGCAAAATAACAATTAAAATGGATTTGCAGTCAAATATTTAAATGATAAATAAACAACTGTTTGATTGCAGATTATGTTTGATGATCTTGCTTGGCGCTGCATACATAGCGCGTGATGACAAGTTATCGATACCACAAAATACAAAACTGCTATCGATATACAGAGATTTGTGTTATTAGCTAGCGATAATTAAGTGTTTAATGTTTTTGTATATAAAATGGCCACGAAATTAAATGTAAACATCAGAACGCTGCTGGCCAACTGCGAGGATCTGGCCAAAAGCGAGGACAACTTTTGGCGTCTGCAAAAGTTTCTCAAATCCCTGGACACCATGGTTGCCGAGCTGGCGGCGATGGATGAGTAAGTTGTTTTTTTTTGCGTAAATGAATCTCAACGAAATATAAGACAATCTCCATCCTCCAACTCCTGCACAGTCCACAAAGCGCGGCACGGATACCTAGCTATAAGGAACGCTTGGCTGCGCTAAAGCTTACCACCGGCTACAGCACAAACAACAATTCGAATGCAGCTGCCAAGCGTTCGGATTCGGCCAGCGAGATTGCGCTCCAGGAGATGCGTCAGCTGCAGAACACAGCCAGGCACAACGAGCTGCGCAAGGAACTGCTGCAAGGTAGCCAAACACAGACAACTCCAGGCACTAATTAACCAGTCCAACATTCTCTCTCTTCCCATTAGATGCGGACACGTTGCGGCGACGACGTGGCGCGGACGAGGCTTCGCCTGGCGAGGCGACCAACGGGAACAACATGAACGAGGCTGTCAAGTATTACAACAATGCGCAGGAGAAGATTACGGAGCACATGCTCTCGCTGACACGCAACCTGAAGGAGCAAACCGAAACGGCAAATCGTATTATTAAACGCGATACGGAGGTCGTCTCCCGTTCAACGGGCATGGCCGATCGCAACATCAATTCGCTTGGCAAGGAGGCCGACAAGCTGGAGCAGCACTCCCGCAAGGCCTACAAATGCTGGCTCTGGCTAATGATTGTCTTCGTCATAGTCGTCTTTATAGGTGAGTCACAAGTCGCTTTCATTTCAAATCCCTTCTAACTCTTCCTCCCTTTCCAGCCATGGTGCTCTTTATGAAAATCATGAAGAAGAAAAAGACGTAAACGAAGCGAATACCTTATCAGAGTTCAATAGGTTATCCTAAATGGTGTAAACAAAAACGGAAAGCATTAAACGAAAGCGAGCGCAAGCCACAAAACGTTTCCAATGCCCTAGCAAAGGGTCCTCCAACTTTGTCGCGAAATATGAGACATCGGCTAGTCCATTAATTTTATATATGTATAGCAAATATCTTATCGGAGCGGTTTACTATATTATCCATTATATAAATTATTACCTCAAAATTGAGATTGTATAATTAACAAGATTTCTTGACTAAGCTCAGCCGATCGAAATATCAGTTTATAAGAAAAGTCATGTTTATTCAGATATCTTTTGTATAATGAATATCCACACAAGGTATATCCTATATAAGCTAAGCTGAGTCTGACAACAGATGCTGAGCATCATTTGCAAGGGCATTTGACCTTCGGCAACCCGTATATAACTTCTCTCTCTCTTCTCTCTGCTATTTATTAATTGTTTAAGCACAAGCATTCTATATAGTATATATGAGTTTTCTATTAAGCTGTTGAACAATATCAAAGTCTATTCCACCGCAATCAGCTCCGTAATGCCATTCTTTGTTATTAGCTGGAGTAGCGAGCCTGTTTTGGGGCGTTCCTGGTCCTGGGTCCATTTGCCAAAGAGTTGAGCGACTTCGGTGAGAGGCGTCCAGCTGCTGAAATCGGATTTTGGCATCCATTTGCGATTCATGGCCGTGTCCAGGGTAACGGGCAATATGGATACGACGAGCGCATCGCTGGGCAAACCGGAATTCTCGCCGGCCAGCGAACGTGTCAGCTGATGCACAGCCGCCTTGGCCATGCCGTAGCCAATCATGCCCGGTGTGCCCTCCAAAGCAGGCTTGGCGCCAGTCAGCGCCAACAAGCCGCCGGCCTTGAGATGCTGTGCGGCCAATGCGGCCGAGATGCTCGAACTCCAGACGCTCTGGCGCCACATCAGATCCGCATTCTTGGCCAGATCTGCGCAGGAGAGTTTTGAGATAAGGCGCTTTTGGTTCGGTCGGACATTGACTTACCCTTCTTGGCATTGCCGCCGGCCCAGCCGCCGGCCACACAGATGACGGCGTCCAGCTTTTGGCCAGCCAGGGATTCGCCCACCTGGCAGACGACAGCCGTCTCCTGATCCTCCCAGCTGGCATCGCGCGGCACCACAACGCTGGCGTCGGCTTTCTCGTTTTCGCTCAGGTCAATGCTGCCAACCCACTGAAGGTTATATATATTAAAACAATGGAATTGCAATTAAAAGCGGAAAGTGAAAGGCTTGAGACTTACATAGTTATTGGCTTTGAAATAATCGACGCAGGCGGAGCCCAGTGCGCCCTTGCCTCCATAGATGACTACGCGACCTGCGGACATGATGCGTGCTGCCAGTTTGACGGTTTCAACTCAACTGAAAAAAGAAACAACTTTTTAAGTGAGCGCAAAATGACTCAAAAACACGTCGAGTCAAGCTTTTGTGACTAAACTGTGTTGCGAGTTTTTGCCCTGAAATCAAGTTATTTGTTGTTGCTGTTGCTTTTATTTTTATGACAAGCTGTAAATTGACAGGCGGCACTTGTTAATTCAGGTATTCTGATTTAATTAATTGAAAAGAAGAACGCAAACTTATTTGTTAGCAAGCAACAAGTGCCAAAAATCAATATTGTGGTATTTTTTACAGTATTCTGTTTAAATGTTAATAACATAACAGCACAACAACAACAACAATGGCAGAACAGTTCTAACAGTGAGCAAAATGAAACGAATTTTTTGAAAACAAAACAAACAAATGTTGCTTTGTGAAGCTAAACGCAAACTTATTAACGAAAGCTATTCATTGCATTTATTTGCTGGTAGTTATCAAGTGAGCTACAAATTTAAATTAACAGTTCTACCGATAAGCGCAGTAGGTAATGTGGCGGCAGGTCGATTAATTGCCAATCTGTTTTATGTGCAGTAATTGTTGTTAGTACGGCAGTTAGAGACTTATTTTTAAGGCGCATTTGTTATTTGAATCTTGGTTATTAATTGGAAAGTTAAATTTTGCACAGCGCAGCGCAGACAGTTAAAATTAGTTGAAAATGTTTCGGTTAGGGTATATTTACTCAACTATCTGGCAGCGCCATTACCATAATGCTCATTCACCGCGCACGATAACGATATGAAAATTGCCATTCACAACGGTCAATGTACACGTACACTCATACTCACACACGTACACGTACACACAATTTTGTCGTGATTTCTTTTATTTGTTTAAAAATAATAGCTTAAATACTGTTTAAATGTATAGCTAAGATGTGCAACAATATGTTGAGTGTTGAAAATACAATTGCGCACAATTTGGCGCAATAGGCAAGCGAATTTTCGACAACAAACGCAAAAGACAACAATTGTTCGCCGAGAGAGGGAGAGAATTTTATGCGAGCGAGTTATTTATTTCATAAGAAATTGTTAATCAAACTGCCAAAATGGAGCGGCGCGTCAAGCTTAAGACTATCAATCCGCATATAACGTGTAAAATCTGCGGCGGTTACTTCATAGATGCGACCACAGTGACGGAGTGTCTGCACACATGTGAGTTGCCTTTGCTAAGTTTGCTAATTGCCAGTTACCGTTCAAGTGGAGGCAGCGCACGAGCACCTGCACCGGTTGCCTTTGCTTTTACGCGCAGTCATGTTCATGTTAGGCCGCCGAATCGTCCGGCGGGCAAGTGATACCGTTATTTTCAACATACGCTTACGCCGAAAGCTAAAGCCAAAGCTCTGTTATGGTCTGCGCTGTCAGATCGGAAACGTTGCCGGCTGATCGCGTGGGAGTTGAACTCTTTGTATGTGGCAAAGGCTGGCAACGCCAAAACTTAATCCTACGCTTTTTTTTTATACAAGCAAATACGACGAAAGAATGTTAAGGAACCTTGCAGACTCTACATACATATGTACATTGAACTCAATCACGAACACACACTCGCACACACACACACACATTTATATATGTATAAACTATGTGCTTAATATTTTCCATTGTCCCGTTTTACAGTTTGCAAAAGCTGTCTGGTCAAGCATCTGGAGGAGAAAAAGACATGCCCCACCTGCGACAACATAATACATCAGTCACACCCGCTGCAGTATATCAGCTTCGATCGCACCATGCAGGACATTGTGTACAAATTGGTGCCAAAGCTACAAGAAGGTACCGACAACTAACGAAAAATAACATTTGTCAAACATTGTATTTAACTGACACGCCCTCCCTCTGCTAACTGTAGATGAATCGCGGCGTGAACGTGACTTCTACAAGAGCCGAAATATGCCATGCCCCAAGGATATAACGCAAAACCACGAGGACGACAACGAGAAGGTGATGGACGCGCATGCCGAATCCGATTTCCATCGTCTCGACGAACAGGTCAACGTCTGCCTAGAGTGCATTAGCAATAACTTTAAGAATCTGCAAAGACGCTTCATACGCTGCAGCTCGCAGGCGACGATAACGCATCTGAAAAAGCTTGTCGCCAAGAAGATACTCAACGGCATCGAAAAGTATCGTGAGGTGAGCATCGATTAATTCGAAATTCGATAAATTTTCGTAACGATTACACACTTTGCTTACAGATCGATATACTGTGTAACGAGGAGCTGTTGGGCAAGGATCATACGCTGAAATTTGTATATGTGACGCGTTGGCGTTTTCGAGATCCACCGTTACGGCTGCAGTTTCGTCCTCGTGTCGAGCTTTAACACAAACAACTGTGTCAGCACAACAGCAAAAATGATCTATATATATATTTTTTATAATTTATTGACATAGTGCTCTATTATATATATATATACATATATAAATATGAATCTTAGGAGTTCCCCTAGTGTTAGTTCTCTCTAAACAAAACAAAATATATATATATATATGTGTAAATGTGCATGTATAAAGTCGGCATAAAGTAGTCGTTAAGTTGAACGTGATTAGCATACTCCTCGTGTGACTTTTAGTTGCGACATTATAGCGCCTGATTTAATCAAATTGAATCCCCCCGTATCTCCCTCCCCTCTCCTTTGCTAGAGACAAGACCCGTTCGCGAAATGCAATATTTTTGTATGTTTTCTTATTAGTTTCATGTGTATTATTTATTAATTTAATGTACAAAACACACGAATGTATATAGCAGTTGAGTAAATAAATTTGTAATTATGTAAAGTTTAAAAATTCAATTCGGCGCCTGCCGCTCATTCCTATAGCTATAGCGCGGATGCGGCCGGAACGGACCAGCTCGGTATCGAAATGGCGGAGGTCGCGCATACGGCGCAAAGTAAGGCGTCACTGGACGCGGCTGCATTCCAAAGGGCAGCGCGCCATACATGGGATTAAAGTGTGGACGCGGCGGCGGCGGCGGCCAGCCCTGAAAAAAAAACAGACTCTCTATTAATTCATAATCTCGACGTGAGGATCATCAGCCACTAACGTAGGCATACGAATACTCTGGAGCAGGCACTGGCACGGGCACTGTTATAATTCGTGGTGGTCGAGAGCGACTCCGACTCCGGCTGCGACTGCGACTACGTCGGCGACGCGAGGAGCGATGACGCTCATAGCTTTTGGAACGTCGTCGCTGGCGCTGGCAGCAGCTCTTCTCCGCTGAATGGGTTCTAGATCTTGGACGCTGGCGTTCATGTCGAGACCGGCGCTCTCTGGGTGGCGGCGTGGGTGTGCGTTTCTGTGTTTTTAGAGTGCGCAGGTTGCGCACCCGATCTCGTTCACGCACTTCGTCTGCGAAATATGGCATCTTTTCCCTTTGGCGTGGACGCCGCCGCCTTGTATCTACATGCAATACATATTAAAAAGGGCATTTTCAGTATTATGCGTTTTGCTTGGCTCAAAGTGTTGGTTTCTCTGCGTGTTGATTAGTTTTTGTCCTCATTTCCTCTTCATTAGCTCTTGCGTCTGCGTTTCTGGTTACGGAAATGCTTCGTTTACGCGTCCATTTTGCGTTCCATTGTAAATCACTTTCACATTTTGTCACTATAAAAAAAACAACAAAAATATTGTATGCACAATATGCTTAATAATTATATTAAACACAATACGGACCTCTTGGTGAACGGGAACTGCTGTCGGCGTCCATATTTTATTAAATAAAAATTTGACGCTACTTGCGCACTTGCAATTTACATAAAGCACGCAAGGCCAAGGTTACGTGTTGCGCTGTTGCACATTGCGGCTCGTGAATGTGACGTCACACATTACATGTTTGCAAGTTGCATGTCTTTTAAAATATTTTCTTCTTCATAGCTATGCACGTACTTTACATCTTGTTAAATCACTTTTACTTCAATTTTCTTTGAAATTTATAGATTTTTCGAACCCAAAAACTTTTAAATCGGTCGTCAAGTGAAGTGAGAATTAAAAGTTGCACACTCATTGACAACCTTGGATTCTACTAACCGTGAGCCCGGCTGCATAATTGAGATGTGAGAGTGTCGATAGACAGTGTATCGATGTTTTTTTTTAAGCATTACACAGACTTATCGAATTTAAGCAAATTTTTATATTTATAATTGTATTTTACAAATTTATATTACACACTAACATAAAAATTTACCTTCTCATCCTTTTTCCCTATTATTTTTTTAATTTGAATACTCAAAGGTATCCCGTGTCTCCCGCTTAACCGTGTTGCGGTGGATGAGGTCACTTGACTACGACTTTCGACTGCAAGTTAAATTGATGTGATGATAAATAAGGAGAGGGGAAGTTGGAATAAAGCCACTTACAACAATCTCCCGTTAAACGTTAAACCATTGTGATCTCTCTCCATGTGGCTCCGACAATAGTCGCTTCGCGCAAAGGATTCCGTACACCAGGGACATTTATATGGACGTTCGCCCGTATGGTTGCGCATGTGCCTCTTGAGATTGGTGGCCAGTCGAAAGGTTGTCGGGCAGAGGGTACACGCATATGGACGTTCCGTGCTGTGCGTCGAGATGTGTCTTTTGAGTAAATGAACAGTTGCATATTTCTTTTCGCAGATGGAGCATTGTTGTTGTTTCTTTTTCCCCTTTCCCACTTTGTTAACCTTTGGTTTGGCAATGATCTTGGCACTGGACTTGATTTCGAGATGCCATCTGTGAAGCATTCAAAGAGATTCATGTCAACGAGTAATTTAGCCACATTTACTCACTTCTTGTGCAGGCTCAAAATGCTCATATGGGCGAATTGCTTGCTGCAGACTTGGCACTTGTACAGCAGATTTGAGCTAATCTCGCTGGGTGCCTCCTCAGCGGTCGCCTCCTGTTCCTGCTGGTTGCCGGCTTTCTTTTGCGTTTCTTTAGACTCATATTTTTGGCTTTTGTTCTCCGCTGAAATGGTCGTGGATGATCTTGGACGCTTCAATTGTTCATGTCGTGGCGGGCTGGCTTTGGGCGGCGTTGGTGCACATTTGTGGCTTTGACTGGGACACAGGATTGGATTTGGGCCAACTTCGCTGGGTACTTCATCAGCTGTCACCTCTTGTTCCTGCTTGATGCCGATCTCTGTTGGCGTTCCATTGGACCCATTGATTTTGTTTGTTTGCCGCAAGTTGGATTTGGCATTGGCCACCAGTTGCCGGTAGCTCTGCTCACACGTGCGCTTGAATCGGAATGCGTTTTGTGCGCTCAGTATGCAGCTGAGGCAAATGTGTTGAGGCAGTGTATCATTGGATTTGATGTGACAATCGGCGCACTCGTTTAGCATATCCGCCAGGCATGGCTCCGGCTGGCCTTTGTATATTTGCTCCCGCTTGGCGAAGATGTGCACAAGCGTAACCGATGAGTTTAAGCAAATGCGACAAATCGCACTATCCATGTTTTGAAAGATTTGTTTGGCTTTAGCGTTGGCTGCGTTTGCGTGCCGCCACTGTGATCGCACGAAACGCATCTATCGATAGTTTTTTTTTCTTCCAGATAGTTGTCGTGCTGTCGCGATATATCGATAATAAAATATATATAATCGCCGTTGTTAAAAGAATAATTATTTATTTTCAACATTGAATAACATTTAAAATACATATATCATTTAAATGTGTAGTAATACATATGTTTGCTTTTAACGGTTTTGATTCTTGAATACATTCGTCTTAAATGCTTATCTATTGATTGAAATTCAGGTGGTTAGTTTCTTTTAACAGCTCTGTAAACGTTATATTTTGAATTTGAAATTGGCGGCACTTTCGGTCACAAGGCAATCCGTGTTGCGTTTATGTGTTTATGCACATATCCTGGTCATGGCACGATAATTGAGTGCTTCTTGGTTCTGTATAAGTATATATATTGTATTTGGTGAAATCGTGCCAAAATGCAGTAGGTGGTTATTTTTGTTGAAAATAGAATTATAATCATTCTAAAAACTCATCCGTACGTTTGGGTACTTAATAATATTAAATTAAAAGTAATTTATGTTATTACGTCTGGTGCAATCATGATCAATTCAAATACAAATTAAAAGTTTCTCTTCTTCTTCTTGTTTTTTTTTTATAAATACACTTTCTTTCTGTTTTAGCGGAATGTGTGGCAAAACGGAAGTTGTCAGGTTTTGGTTTTGGCTTTACTGCGGAATGTGTGTTTTATGTGTGTGTGTGTGTGAGAGAAGTTGGTGCACTTTTAGCGTCTACATGTGCCTGGTGTTGCCAAAGTTAATGCCCGACTGGGTGGCGCCCTTGTTGGAGCCGTACTGTAGGGAGATAACATTCTGGCCGGCACGCAGCTGCTCCTCGCTGAAGTTGCGCACATTCTTGTCCGCCTCCTTGGGACCAATCGATGGCTTGTTGAAGTTGGAGGCCTGTTTGGAACGTGAGATTAATCGAAACGTGGCATTAATGGAAATCTCAATCTAAATCTGTGGCTAACTCCTGCTCACCTTGCGGCCCAGCGACTGCAGACAGATGACGACAGAATTGAGATTCTGACGCTCCCAGAGATCGACACTTTGGAAGGTCTCCTGTGTGGGCACACCAAAGTTTTTGGCGCACTCAAGGAATGCCGAAATGTTCTCCATGCATTTGAAGGCCATTTTGCTCTCGTTGATCTTCTTGATGCAGCCGGGCTGCAGGGCATTGGCCAGCTTGCACAGGATGACGCCATCCTTGAGCACCTCAAAGAAGTTGTCCGTGTCGCCGGATGTGTTGATCGGCTCGGCTGTCACGGCCTTGATCCATTCCAGCGACTCCTGCGCCAGCTCCTCGCTGTACTTCGAATTGATCTGTAGCGAAGGAACAACATTTTAGTTAAGTATTTTATCCTTTATAATGTTCCTATATGTATCCGTATGGGCTGGGATCACCTTGGACTGGTACGACATGTCGACGGAAAATGTGCTCGGTTAGACTGAAGGCAACTTCGCAAATGCAATCATGTCTAACCATATATATTCTTGCGTTATCTGGGGCAATAGTTCCAGATAACCCAACCTATCGTTAATTGGCCATAAACAAGCACGCACACACGCTTCGACTAGCTGCACGGCTATAATTCAAGTTTGGATAAGGATAAGATTGCAGTTTCCGAGACATCGTCACTCCCCAAATAAAATATTAAAAAAAAAAAAAACCCACCACCAAATATATTTTTCCCAATTTCAATTAAAATACACAGCTCGAAAGGAGGCGATTCTTTGTTAAGCACAGTTAAAAGAATCCCAAAAATCGAGCTAAAAGTACTTGAATTATTGTATAATTCGCACTAAATTTGAGACCCGTTCGAAATGGTCTTGAAATTAGTAGACAATTTATTGAATTAAGTTTTCTTAAAAGGTGTTAAGTAAATTCAAATAAATTTAAAGCTTAAAATTTGCTGAAAATAACTTTATAAGTTTTAGATTTAGAACTTATATAAACTTATTTGAAGTTTTAACAGGAGAATTCCCTTTAAAGATTATAAAGATTTAAAATTTGCTTGAAATAAGTATGTAAATTTTAAATTCAGAACTAATACAAACTTACTTGAAGTTTTAAAAGAAGTTCTTTTAAAGATTAAAAATTTGCTTGAAATAAGTGTAAAGGTTTAAATTCAGAACTAATATAAATTTATTTGAAGTTTTAAAAGAAACTCTTTTTAAGATTATAAAGGTTTAAAATTTGCTTGAAATAAGTGTGAAAGTATTAAATTCATAACTAATATAAACTTATTTAAAGTTTTAAAAGGAATTCTTTTAAAGATTAAATTGAGCTTCATTTAACTTATTTTTAAAGTCAGTTTCTTTTAAGAATAAATTGTTCTCAACTTAAGATTTGTTTAATATAAAGTTAAGAGATTGAAAGATTGCAAGTACAGATTTTTCTTAGTTTAAGATTTGTTCGATTTCAAGTTCAGATACATAAGGTTAAGTTTTCTTTTTTAAGTTGAGAGTTATTTTAACTTGAAAAAATACTGTGATTTTCTTATTAAGAGAATTTCTTTACTTTAAAGCTCAAACTAGAGGTGGGTAAACTTGGATTAAGTCAAAAAGGGATTAAGACTGGACTTGATTTAAATGTAACTATAACTTTTAAAGGTTTGCTCAACTAAACCCAGTCTTGATTTGAGTGTAAAGTTCTTAACATATGTCTCTAAAAATTGTTTGTCAGTTAAGTCACGTTCTCAATCTCAAATCAATAACCATATTTGCTTATGTCGAACTGTTGCTGTTGCTGCTTGTTGTTGTTGTTGTTTGCGAGCTTTTGTGTTTTTGGCCATATAAGGTGCAGAAGCTTAAGCCGGCTGCTGTTTGGGCGTCCTTCGCACCGTTTTGGCTTTGGAATCGAGGCCCACCTGTTGAGCGTTATTGGAGTGGACATTTGGCTGTGGCGCCAAATCAGACAAAAAAAAAGAAAACCGAGCCAAACCACAAAATGTTCGCGCTTTGCGTGTTGGATTTCCATTTACCAGTTATTAGTTATATTTAATTGAATTGCTGTCGCTAACTGATTTCAGATTAGCGAACATTCCCTCTCTCTCTCTCTCCCTCCCTCTCTCTCTCGCCCTCTCTCTCTCTCTCTCGCCTCTATTAAAATAAATGATCTCAGAGACAAGTGGTTGCTCGCTTTGATTGCGCCTCTGTTTGTGTTGCTTTTTGCAATTGACATGCGAAAACAACTCAAAGCGTTCTCAAAGACGTGCCTGAACGACTGCGCAATACCCTGTTCACAGTGCAAAAAGTAGCCGAAAAACAGTGAAAAATTAATCTTCTTCATTTGTGGTTTGGTAGCCGAAAAACAGTTAAAAAGTAAGCTTCTTGATCTGTGGATTGGTGACTCTCAAACTGTAAGCCAAATTAGTTGACTTCAAACTGTGCAGTTTGTGGGGCCGTGGCGCGCACTTCGAAAATAGCCAAACACAGTGACTGTAAAAATGTAAGCTCAAGTCCACCGTTTGCAACGCCAAAACTGGGAGCCCAAGTCAATGTTTGTCAAACTGTAAGCCGTTTAATCAGTGACTTCGCGATTCTGAAACTGTAAGCTCAAACAAATTACTGTCAAACTGTGATATATAGTTCTATCTATGTTCAATTTGTAATTCAGTTAATTCATGACTCTAAAACTGTAAATCCAAGACAATGACTTTAAAACTGTGATGTATATAATTTGTCAATTTGTGCATGATTTTCAGACTTTCAAACTGTGAGCCATTTAATCAGCGACTTTGTGACTGTAAAACTGTAATCTCAAGTCAATGACTCTCAAAATGTTATCTATTAATTCGGTGACTTCGCGACACTAAAACTGTAAACCCAAGACAATGACTTAAAAACTGTGATGTATATAATTTGTCATTTTGTGCATGATCTTCAGATCAAACTGTGTGCCATTTAATCAGCGATTTCGTGACTGTAAAACTGCAAGAAAAAGTCAATGATTTTCAAACGGTAAGCAACTTAATCAGTGACATCGTGACTCTAAAACGTTAAGCTCATGTTAGACTGCAAATCAAAGCCAACGACTTTAAAAAAACGCATATACCCCTTTGTCCCTTGGTAAACAGGGTATAGATATTGTTTTTCAGCTTGTTCCTTATCGCATAGGCTCCCCTCCTTAAAAGGGAAATGCATAGGGGCGGCAGGCGGGGATGTGGATGTGGGCTGCGGCACTGCAGTGCAAAAGTGAAGGTGAATGCACTGTGGTTGGCCGCAGCCAATCGCAACGGTTCGGTAGTTCGTTCTCATATCGATAAGCAAATTTTTTTATGAGCTGTTCATTGCAGGCCGAACCCAGAAAATATTTAATGGGCTGATCAAGTAGCCGATATGCAGATGTATATAAAGGCCGTTCAAATGTAAATCAATAACCAAATCAAATGACTTTTATGTGCTTGTCAACATTTTGTTATTCTATTGTTATACCCTGTAGCTACTGGCTAAAAGGGAGTATAATTAGGTTTTGGGCTGCGGGGGGCATCTCCTGTATACGAACTTAGTTTAAGAACTAGAGACAACAAATGATTTACTCAAATTTGGTAAAATCAAAAAAATTGATAACCGATTGTTGAACAAATCGGAGCGTGTTTTTTTTTAAGAAAATAAACACAAATCTATTGTTATCGCTGCAGGGCACAGGGTATCTTTAAGTCTGGCAGTCTCTACAGAGATAGAATTCATTTGTTTTATATGAGTTTGCACTGCTGTTGCGTTGGTTCGCTTGATTTTTGAAATCCGCTTAACAGCCGCAATTATCGATAATGTTATCGCTGCCAAGAGCTGACTATCTTTAAAATATACTTAACAGCAGCAATTATCGATAATGTTATCGCTGCCAAAAGTTGCCTATCTTCAAAATATACTGAACAGCAGCAGTTATCTTTAATGTTATCGCTGCAAAAAGCGGACTATCTTCAACATATACTTAACAGCAGCAATTATCGATAATGTTATCGCTGCCAAAAGTTGCCTATCTTCAAAATATACTTTACAGCAGCAGTTATCTTTAATGTTATCGCTGCCAAAAGTTGCCTATCTTCAAAATATACTTAACAGCAGCAGTTATCTTTAATGTTATCGTCAAAAAGCTTACTATCTTCAAAATATACTTAACAGCAGCAATTATCGATAATGTTATCGGTGCAAAAAGCGGACTATCTTCCAAATATACTTAACAGCAGCAATTATCTTTAATGTTATCGCTGCCAAAAGTTGACTATCTTCAAAATATACTTAACAGCAGCAATTATCGATAATGTTATCGCTGTCAAAAGTTGACTATCTAATAGCAGCAATTATCGATAATGTTATCGACCGTTTTCTGCAGTCTATGCAATTATCACAATTAGAAAGCTAAATTTGGCATAACGGTAAAAAGGTTTAACAACCTGCTCGGCTCATTAGACAAAAGCTGTTAACCCCAAAAATTAAAACAAAAAAAAATAACGAAAGAATGCTGAGAACAACTAACAAAAGGTTCGAGCATTGGGTCAATTTATCATGATTTTTCAAAAGCAATTAATAAAACTCGATATTATGATTGACATTTTCTCGAGACGACGCAGAATGCGCGTTGATAATTATGATGATGGCTGATAAATTGACGCCCTCGAGGCGATCGGAATAAATTTTGGATTAAATCAACATAGATTATGGGCAAAGGAGAATCTAAGAATCTTGGCTACAGTTTTATGTATATTTAAGCACATAAATAAAAAGCCGTTGAGACAAGTTAATGAATTCGAACGATTTCTTACACATTTGCGGTCTATGCATAAATATTTATGGATTTTTTTTTTCATTTTTATTTTTATATAAAAATGGGTATATTGTATTTGTGCAAATGTATGTAACAGGCAATAGACGAGTCGATCTTGCCATGTCCGTCCGTCCGTCTGTCTGTCTGTCTGTCCGTCCGTTTGTCTGTCTGTCCGTATGTATGAACGCAAGGATCTCAGAACCTATAAGAGCTAGAGAAATGTTGAAATGTTTAGCTGTAGGTCCTCCTAGTCCCCGCGCAAATCGAGTTTGTTACCGATATTCGATAACTTGCTCCGTTTTCAGGTAATCGATAAAAATCGATATCGAAATCCTGTTTTTTGAGCAATTTCGGCAAATAATATGAGCTAGAGTTACCAAACTTGACATGTAGCTTCTAGAATACTTATTATTCGCTTATTTTATACCTATCGCCTGTCGGATGAAGAGGGTTCAGGGTATTCCCTAGTCGGGAGCTCCCGACCAGAAGCTCTTACTTGCTTATTATTGTATTGGAATTGGGAATTGGCAAACACGGCTTACAACATATGATA